TTACAATCAGTATGAAATTTACGCGATTTTCATTGCGGCAAATGGTTCGTTTTTGGTATTAACATTTCTTGCCAGCAACGCGGATTGGATCGGGGGTGCTGTGGGTACAGATGATGCAGGAAATGTTGGCCAGAGTGGGGGGTATGGGATGCATAGAAGCTGTGCCAATTCTCATATTTGTATACTCTTCGCGAAGAGCTTGTACATTTGGGCATTCGGCAAATAAAACTTTAATTTAGATAAAACAACTCAAGAAGAGATTATTAAATATTGCTTTAACGGGCTCAGATTGTGAAATTAATTAAATATAGGTATATATAAATGCTAGAATGCCTTAAGTTCAGTCATTGATGTTAACACTCAATTCAAAATGTAGCTTTCAGCTTGAAGCTCGCTTAACATATTAGTTTAATAAGGTGTTAACTAAATAAGCCAAAAACACATGAAAACACATGAAGGCTTTTGTCTAATAAAACTTATAATTGGCTTTAATCTAATAACACTTGAAATTTGCAAAGAAACACAATCGATGTCAGCTTGTAAAGCACATGAAAGCTGCGTTTTAATCAAAAGCTCACCGATTAACTGTGTAAGCAGTGAAAGCGATTCACAGCTTTAACTAAAGCTCAAGTTTTTCAAGGAAACACAAGCAGCAAGTCTGCTTAAAAAGCACTGCTTGTTTTTTATTGAAGCTTAATTTGCCAACTTAATTAGCAAAGCAATACGTTAAGGGTATTCATATGTCGTTGTGCCGCTTCTAATTTCCGTTTCTTGTTATTTTTGCCGCTGAGTTTTTCTTCTTAGCACGCCATAACCAACAACAGCAAACAGCTCGCGACTGCCACGGGCCAAAAGTGGCATCAGCTGCACTTGGCGAGGATATATCCTGAGCCGCTTCCTGCCGCCTCTCCCCTAACACCACACGCCTTCAACTTCTTTCTATCTGGCTGTGCACGCACGCTGACTGACTTGGCGCTCGGTGGCATAATGCAATAAGCGTAGCCAACGATAGCGACGACATCCTCAGCCTCATCCTCGTGCTCGTTCCCGTCCTTGTTCGCGTCTTAGTCCTTCGCTAACTTTGAGCCTTACAACAAACAACAAACAAGAAGCTGCCAGAAAGGCGCTGCGGGTAGTTGCTTGTGGGTGGGGCAGAGAATGGCGCGCATGTGTGCCAGACAGGTTATGCGCTATAAAAAATTTAAGAAATTGCCGCCAGTGGCTGCCAAACGACAATACTTTCGAGCATTGCACAAATCAAAATACTTTCAGGTTCTTCCACTTTAGCCTTTGTTGTCTGCTTCTTGTTCTTGCACCCCACAACCCACGCGCCACACGGCAGCAAGTTCCGCAGAACAACTGCTGCCCAACCAAGGGGCAACAACAAGGTGCTAAATAAATAATGTATTAAGCATTGCCAGCATCAATAAGATTGGGTTTTTGCTTTGTTTTAAAAAAACAGAATTTTTATTCGTTTAGAATATAAGTTAAATACAGTGATAGCTCCAACGAATATATGAGAGCTTTTACTGCAGGAAAATATCATTTAATAAAGGTGCTTAAAACTATGAGCCTATTATTTGATATAAATACTATCTATAATCAGCTTAAGTTTATAGATTTTTTTGAGGTAATCGTTTGTTTATTTAAACATTTAAGGAAATGTTTTTAAACAATTTTCTAACCAACATGAAGGAATACAGCACACAATTAAATTAAATTATATTCCACAATAAAATTAATAATTGATAAAGTGTTAACAGAGTTTGATAATCTCTGACATCTCCTCACCCAAAGCTTTTTTAATAGTAGCCTTTTATTGTAACAAACAATTTGTAATGCAAATTTCATTCCTTTATTACCTCTGATATTGTATAAAACTGTGGCGTATACCTAAACTAGGAGATACTCAAATTCAATTCAATGCAAGCAGTTCTACTTAAAGCTGTAATATTCCAACCGTTCATGTGAAACCGTTCAAAGACCCTGTGACAGGACATCCAAAAGCGCATCGATGTGTATGTGTATGCGTGTGTGTGCGTGTCTGTGTGAAAATCCGAAATTGCGTCATGTTGTGTCATTCCCAGGCTCAGCGACTGTGCGCAGCTAAGCCCAAAGGAACTGGGTTAAAGGTCATTATGCAGCGAGTGTCCCAGCTCCTGCCGCAATGCTGTTTAGTAGTTGCTCATTTGGCATAATCCTTGAATCCTTTGGCTGCCTCAACTGTTGAATGCACGGTAGCTGCAAGTAGAAGAAGAGCTACTGCTGCTGCTGCGGGCATAACAATAATAAACTTTAATTCAATTTGTTAGCGACATTTTAAAAGGCTGCAGCCGGTCAATTAAATGGCCGCACGCACGCATCCTGCGGCCAGGACACTGATTTCTTTTTTAATCAACAAAAGAGGCACAGAGAACGAGGGGGGGCGGAGGCGGCGAGTGGGCTAGAGATAGCCATATAAATCAAATTACATGGGACAAAATGCCCATAAAGCGCATAACCGCAAAATACACTTAAAATGGAGGCAAAATGATTGAATTGTGTGCGAATATCCGAGTGTGTGTATGTGTGTGGCATGCATTTATTGCAGGTGTATTTGTGCGTGTGTGTGTGCGTGTTTGCATATGCCAAAGCTGCAGCTCCATAGCTGCCCGTTTGGTTGGCTTATTGCATCGGTTTTGCAGTCGTGTCGGCTGCCTTTGATAAAATTATCCCCTGACTCGCCCCCTCCCGCCAGCTCTTGTTTCAAAACTCAAACATCCGTTGTGTGTACATATTTTAAATTTAATTACTACACGCTGCAACAACAGCGCCAAATCCAAGCAACCAACCAACCGTCCATCCATCCATCCATCCATCCAAGCAGATCAACCTACCCATTTACCTGTACGCCCTCCGACTACCCCCGCCCTGCCCGCTCGCTTACCCATTTCAGAGATCCTTTCATTTGTCGCAATGGCTCAGCTCTGGAGCACCATAAATTTCCATTCGAAAATAGTTGGCAGGCCATTCAGATCTGTGCTGTCCACACACACAGCTGTAAGCATTTTAAAATACGAGGGCTGCTCGAATATTTTTTTTGTTAAATTATAGAGCTTTTCAATTTTTTCAAAGAAAATCTCACTTGATCTATGAAAAATCGTTAAGAATTCAGTCGCTTTATAAATAAATAAAAATCTCAAGATAAATCTTTTTAGATTTTTGGTTAAGAAAATATATATGGCGGAATGTGTAATAAAACATTTTGAAATACATGCTGTTTTGTTAATTACAATTAATTAAATAAATATTTATGTTTGTGAAAGTACACATTATAATTCCATTAAAAGTACATTTGATTTTAATAATTGGGATATGTTATTTTAATGTATGTATATATATATATATATATTTATTTTTTAAAATTGCATTTAACAAACCTTTCAAGCCTTCCACTTAAATAAATATATATGTATGTAAGCCAGTTTGCCCGGGCCATATGTGAATGCCTTCCCGAGTGTTTCGCCCTATGCCGTGGGCGCATTTTTGTACATTTAACTCAATTTGTGGCTTACATTTAATTAATTTAATAATACGAAAATGTATTATGTATATATACATTTTTTTTTAAATAACCGCAGCACAACAATTTACTCTCTGTGGCTGGGTGAGTGTGCCAGTTTGTGCAGGTGTGTGTGTGTGTGTGTGTGCTCCAGAGATTTCAATAAATAATGGCCAAGACGACCGCTAAGCTGTTCTATAAGGATTTCATACCTTCACACGCAGTTGCAGTTGCAGCATAAAGAGCCGAACAGATGGCGCCAGTGCCAAAACGAATGTTCGTTGCCAATGGATGGCGCTGCAAACATATTCCACATGCTAGCAAAAGCTTTGGTTCTATGTGGAAGCCAATTGATATGCGCTGCTTAATCATAAGAGAATTCTAAGATTTTGTTGTTTCATAGATAATGTAGTATTGGGTGTGTTAGATAAGCATTTCAAGAGTTATTTGCCTTTACGAAAAAACTAAAAAACGATGACTAATTCTATAATAAATCAGAAATTTTGATTAAAGCACAGAAAAATCGAGTTTTCAGTAGACAATACATTTGATAAGAGCATATATTTCTCAATTGGCAGTTATAAATCAGTAGTTTAGATATGTACATATAAGCTCTAATAAGCACAGATATATCGATTCATTATTGTTAAAAATGTATGCTTAATTTTTATTTGTAAATCTTTTCGTACAATATTAATATTTTAAACTACAAAAATGGGTCTGAGTTTGCAGAATTATTAAAATTCGTTTATTTGTGACATGTAAAGTTACAATGAACTTTACGGTACACTTTCAGGTTCATTAACCCGAGCAACTCGCTTGAATTATATTTAAAATGAAAATATATATATATTAATTATATATTAATTTAAATTATATATATATTTATGTAAACTATATAAATAATATATATTTTCAATCTAGCAGATCTGTTGTGTGGTCTTTTATATATAAATAAAAATGAAATTAATATGCCTTCAGCTTGTAGACTGACTGTCATCTGATCCCTGAGCTGCATATTCGAAAGATATAATTTTTTTTATTCGCACCCATATATTTATTATATATTTAGTTATGCAATCTAATTGAGTTGCTCTTGATATTGTGATTGTGATATTGTTTTTGGTTTTTTGTTTTTAATCATTTTTATTGATTCGGTGAATCATGAGCTAGATAAGCGGAGTAAAAGCGTCGCGTGCAGCGAGTGTAACCAGAACATTGAGAGATCCACTTATAACGCCCGGCCAACCCCCTCGCAGCTTTCAGCCCTTCCGTTTGGATCGTCAACATTTCACTTTTCATTTGTTTACACTTGAACAACAAAGCAGCGCCGGCGCAGTGGAAAAAAGCTTTGTTGCCGCCAAGCAAAAAGAAGCAGAACACTAAAAAACAAAAACAGGCAACAACAAACCGACAAAAAGCTCAAACAGATGAATCTATAAATGATGCACTGCAGCCGCATGAATGTCAGTACTGAACGAACGAGCTGAGTGAGAATACAACGAGCTGAAATACTCTTTCAATCACATATTACAACGTGCATAACACCTAATCGAAAGCAAATCCTAGCGATTCCATAATAATGCGTCAATCTATCAGGTAAATTTATCTATATACATACATACCTCACCCCTCCAGCACATTTTGGAGTATGAAAACTAATTTAATTCGCTTGACTCTTGACTTATTCTCCTTGTTGCTGTTGTTGTTGTTGTTGCAGTGCCTCATTCTGGCTGCTCACATTTGTGGCCTTAAATGGAGCCTGGGCCCAAGTGCCCTTTCCCGGCCGGTGTCCAGAGGTTAAGATTGTGGACACTTTTGACTTGAATGCGGTAAGTACCACACACAATTGTCAACCATTTGAGCACTTCAGCCTGCGCCATAATTAATCAAATGTAACGCTTTAATTAATTGCGCCAAAGGAAATCATCAAGTTGGCAAATTAGTTTTCTGTGAATGCTTATCTTGAGTTACATTCTTGACAATTTCGTTGTTTTGCCTATTTTTATTGAAAAGTCATGATGAACATGTTTGTTACTTGGCTACTTTTGAAATATCTTTTAATTAAATTTTTTTATTTAAACTTGATCGAATTACCACTTCAAGAAAGCAGCTCAAAACAAGATATAATGTTATGATTAATTTGATATTTTTCAATTAATTGATTAAATATGAAAAATAAATCAATCTTATAATTTAATGTTCAATAACTTAAGTAATTTATGCAGATTTTTAAATTTTTTATATTAATTTTAATGTAATAAGTTCCTAAAAAACCGCTGCAAACTGTCCACTTAAGAAGTCTATGAACTTTACTCAATTACCAAAACCTATAAGATATTTGATAACAGAAATCAAAACATGTTGATAATAGCTGTTATCAATATTTTAGCATAGATTAGATAATAGACAGATGGCTCCTAATCTTTTATTATTATCTATTAATCAGAATTGTTGTTGAACACGTTTCGCCAAATTTCAAGTATTTTCTGGAATGTCTCATGACTAAACACCTGCGCTGCGATTGTAAATCTTTAACAGCTCATTAACTCAACTTGTTAATATTTTTTTTTTTTTGTATTTTTGCTTTTCAGTATATGGGCGTCTGGTATGAGTATGCAAAGTATCCATTTGCCTTTGAAATAGGCAAGAAATGTATTTACGCGCGCTACGAAATCGCCGATAACAGCACAGTATCTGTACTAAATGCGGCCATTAATAAACTGTGAGTAGTTCAGCCTATTGTTTTTAGGATGCATCCGGAAATTTCTTTATATTCTCGCACCTACAGCACCGGTAACCCATCGAATGTGACAGGCACGGCCAAGATCATAGCTCCCGGTCAACTGGCCGTGACCTTCTCCAAGAATCGTAAGTAAATGCAGGCGTTTATATGCATCTGCATCTGAATCTTGATCTATATTTGTATCTGTAACTTTCAGAGCAAGCTAATAGGGCCAACTATCTGGTACTGGGCACCGATTACGAATCGTATGCAGTTGTCTATAGCTGCACCAGCCTCACCCCCCTGGCCCATTTGAGTGAGTATGCGGAAACTTAGGCCGATTGGCTGGGCACGTCCCGTCTTGGCCTTGGCCAATTAGGCATGCAAACGAGAAATCAGTTATTGCATTTGGCATAATTAATGCAACTCCATAATTAATTGCATTATGGTCAGCCAGGGACACATTGGCCAGCACGTTAATTACAATCATATGAATTTGCCATTGCAGAAATCGTCTGGATATTGACGCGCGACCGCGAGCCCACAAAGGAGACAATCGAGACGGCCTACAAGGTGCTGGATGACAATAAGATAACCCAATCTGTGCTGATCAATACTGTCCAAAAGAATTGTCCCGAACTGGAGAGCAATGGCACAGCTTCAGCTGAGGAGAACATATTTGTCAGCAATGCATTGCCGCAGGCTATTGAGGCAGCATGAGATTGGCTCCGGCGCTTCAACGAGCGTCTCTTCGATATATTCATGAACTTCTTAAACAACTAAATGCAACGGTTTATAGCAGCTTAATACTTATATCCCTAATGTATACTCAGAAAGAACTATAAATTGATTTTTAAAAAATGCAGAGCATGTTAGATATTAATGTTTACTAGCAGAGAGTTTCGAATGTTCAGATTATATTGTATATACGTTCTTGTATAATAAATGAAAATATACAAAAAGCAAGTTGAATAAAAAAAATTATTCACAAAATATTGTAAATTCAAATAATTATTAAAGTTTTATGTTGAAATTTCAAACCTGTAACTTTTGAATGAAATTGAAAATTTTTTTAATTCATTATTTCTTAGGTATATGCAGATATTTATATATATCATGGGAAGATTTATTTTAAGTTTAATGCATTTTCTCTAACGAATCAATATTGCAGGCTAAGACCTTTACTAATGCAATTTTGTAAAAACTGCATATGGCTTTTGTTTCTGTCAATCTATTCGCGGTTCAGACTATAAAATATGTTCAACTCACGAATTGGCAAGTATGTAATAATATTTAATATAGTATTATATTACAATTATAATAATAGTTACAATTACGTCTAGCTTTGGCCTATTGGTGCTCTTATTCGGCAGTCGCGCTATGGGATTGGAGGTATTTGATGGCGCATGTCCGTCAAACATGACAGCCGTTGGTGATTTAGATATGCAGAGATACATGGGCAAGTGGTACACGTACTCAATGTATCCATCCCTTTTTAATAAAGTGACCAAATGTCGATCGATCCAATTTGATAAGTTGCCTAATGGTAAATTTACCGCAAAAATGACGGAGCTACACAGCATGTAAGTTAGTTAAATACAATCAAACACTTGTTAAGACTTCAATGAAGCAAATTATAGAAAGGAGAATTTGGTCATCAAAAAAGCTGATATTAATACCGTGGATTCAAAGGCTGGTAAAATCATATTGAAAACATTAGCCCCTGGTATGTAGAGACTATGACATCTTTAACTATATATTCGGTAGAAGCTGATATAACCTTCCTTTATTAGCCTTTGTTGGCGGCGAGGAGATGTATGTGCTGGTTACTGACTACGATACATTTGCTGTACAGTTCTTGTGCATTGATGCTGAAAGCATTATTAACTTGCGTAAGTTATTTCACCAAATTGCCTGAGATGGCTGCTTCCTGAATCCCTTCGTTTTCAGAATATGCTGCCATACTGACACGCCAACGGTCACCATCGCAGGCAATTGTATTCCTTGCTCAACAACTGGCCCAACAAGCTGGTATTCGAATTGATAAAATGAAAGTCGTTCCTCAGAATGGCTGTCCACCCGATACATAAAAAATTCTATGTACATTAACTTGGGTTTATTTCATACCATTAAAAGTATAATCAAAATATCATAATAATTATCACTGAAAAATATTCAAATTAAATGACAATTTATGTATTATATTTACTTTTGAAACACATAGTTTCAATCAATCAAATTTACTCTGTAACTAGTTAAATAGAACATTATTTTTCCAAGACTATTAGTTATAGTATGTTCATCAATTTTGAAATAAGTTAAAATTAGCCACACTTTAAGAACTGCGAATAATCCATTCAACTATATTCAAATTCAGTAGTCACGGTCTTGCAGATTTGTTAGGATAAATGGGCATACATACCTTAGCTTTTGGTTCTTTTGCTCATTTTTAAGTCATGATGAACATGTTTCTTTCTTGGTTAATAATCAAATATCTTTAAATTAACTTATTTTTTTATTTTAAATTGATCAAATTACAACCCCAAGAAAAGCAAGCGCAAACAAGATAGACTATTATAATTAAATTTATATTTTTCAATAAATTCATTATATATGAAAAATATAAAATTTAAATTAAATTTTATAACATGGAGCAAATATTTTATTTTTAATTTAAAGTTTATTCACCCAAGTTATTTTAATTAATTTAATCTAATAAGTTCCTAAAAAACTGCTGCAGACTGTCCACTTAATTATGACAAATACTTATAAGAAGTCTTTGAACTTTACTCAATTACCAAAAACTATAAGATATTTGATAACAGAAATCAAAACATGTTGACCATAGCTGTTATCAATATTTTAGCAAATATTAGATAACAGCTTGATATATGGCTTGCTTATCTGTTCTTATTTTATATTAATCAAAAGTGTTGTTGAACACATTTTGCCAATTTTCAAGTATTTTCTGGAATGTCTCATGACTAACATCAGTTTATTTTTTAGTTATATGGCATATATTTATATAAGTATATGTAATGAGAAGATTTATTTTAAGTTTATTGCATTTTCTCTAACGAATCAATATTGCAGGCTAAGACCATTACCAATGCAATTTTGTAGAAACTGCCTATGGCTCTTGTATCTGTCAATCTTTTTGCAGTTCAGACATTAAAACATGTTCAACGCACGAATCAGCGTGTATGTAATTATATTTAAGTTATCTTATTACAATTATACTAATAGTGGTAATTCCAAGCAGCTTTGGCATATTGATGCTTTTGTTCGGCAGTTCCACTAAGGGATTGCAAGTATTTCGAGGAGGATGTCCATTAAACATGACAGCCGTTGGTGAATTTTATATGAACTACTACGTGGGCAAGTGGTACACGTACTCAATGTATCCATCCCTTCATAAAAAAATGAACAAATGTCGATCGATCAAAATTGATAAGTTGCCAAATGGTAAATATCACGAAACAATGACGGAGCTACACAGCTTGTAAGTTGGTTTAGTACACACAAACACAGGCTGAGATTCTTAAATGAAGCAACTTATAGAAAGGAGACTTTGATAGTAAAAAAAGTGGATATTGATTCCGTGGATTCAAAGGCTGGTAAATTCACATTAAAAACATCTTCCCCTGGTATGTAGAAACTATGACATCTTTAACTATTTATTCAATATTCTTCCATTATTAGCCTTTGTTGGTGGCCTGGACATATATGTGCTGGTCACTGACTATGATAAATTTGCTATACAGTTCTTGTGCATTAATTCCAATGACGTTATTAACTTTCGTAAGTCATTTCACCAAGTTGCCTGAGACGGTTGCGTTCTGAATCCCTTTGCTTTCAGAATATGCTGCCATACTGACACGCCAACGGTCACCATCGCAGACTGTTGTATTCGAGATTCAACAAATCGCCCAACGACTTGGCATACAAATTGATAAACTCAAAGTCGTTCCTCAGAATGGCTGCCCACCCGATGCATAACAGATTCTATATACACTACCTTGGGTTAATTTCATATAATTATAAGTATGGTCCAAAAATCATATTAAATATCATTGAAATATAATCAAATTAAATGACATTTAAAGTAATATATTTACTTTTGTAACACATTGTTTCAATGCTTTAAGTCAACCTAATTTGCTCTGTAACTAGTTAAATAGAACATTCTTTCTCCTAGATTATTCGTTGGAGTATGAACAGAAGTTTTAATAACTTGATATTAGCCACACTTTAATAACTGCGAATAATCCATGCGATATTTACATTTCTGTAAATTTTTTATATTCTTAGAATATTTTTACAAAATGTTCAATCAAATATTTCTACAAATATTTTCCATCACATATATATATATTTACTCAGAGCGCGTGACACATCTCGCTTTCAATTATTCTTAAGAACTGACCATACTCAACCAAGTGCTATTGTACTCAAAAATGATAATGACCAATAATGTTTAATTAGCTCAGCTGCGACTCGTCGGCGACTGTCTGAGGTTCGAGTGCTTTGTAAAAAATTCTTATATGACGCGATTATAATGAAACATAACCTTAAGAACCGGTTTAACATACAAATTTGCACAATTATACACATAATTTGAGTTCTATGGACTTTAAACTAAACCCAAACTGGTTTTTAGAACTGATGCATTGCTAGCCAAATCTCTGAGCTAGAGAATTTTGAGCAATAGAAGGTTATGATGTTTTTGTTAACATTTTTTCTATGGCTGTGAGCAATTATAAATATTAACTGCAAGGCTTTACGCCTTATAGAAGAGACGAAAACTTAATTACTGAAAATAATAAACTAGTTTGGAAGTTAATTGAGAACTAATCATAACTATTAAGTTATTAGTGAGTTTCTATATATGAATCAATTAGTATAGAAAGCTAAATTGTACTTCTAGGTATTATATGACATCACAAAATCGAAGCCAAACTAGATAGAAGTAGGATTTGATTTTACGAATTTAGTGCAGCAAGTTGTTGTCTCTAAGCTGCTTATTTGTTTTAGCTTGGCAAGGTTTTTGTTTATTTTTTTTTTTTGTTTAGTATGTGCGGTAAATAAAACAAATGTTGAACAACATAAACAAACATAAATCACAAGCCGCAACAGCCATGACCGGAATATATAACTCCCTCTCCAACTCCATTTCTCTACGAGCATCTCTCTTCGTGTGTTTTTTTTTATGTTCTCAGTCTGTGCTCTATCGAAAAGGACAATTGCGAAATTAAACAGCGAAAAGGCTAGAGAATCGTCCTTGCCTAGAGTGGCATAACAAAAACCGAAGCGCCCGATGGGCAAATTTTATGGTACAGCGATTTTAGAATTTGTACTATATGCATCCATCTGTTTATTTTATTTTTTGTTCTTTGTGTTCTCTTATTTTTAAGCTTGTAGTCGCCTTACCGCGCCTGCATGGGCTGGAGTCAGACTGGGAGTCGGGCTCAGAGCCAGACATAGATGAGGCTAACGATAGAGTTGGAGTGCGAGCAACTTTTGAGGGACTACAAACTACTCGCTGTGCATACAAAATTTATTTTGTAAACAAAGTAAATGCCATTACAAACAAATTGGACTTTGTGCCATGCTTTTTGTACTTTGTTGCGGGCTCTTGCATTTTTGGCCACGATCTAAAGCTGGAGCTGGTGCCACCGTTGGGAAATCGCTCAACTGCGCCTCGGGGGCGCCCATGAGCCCGGGACTGTGCTGTGCGTGATGCCTCGACAAGGATGTGTGACTGCCGGCCCCATCTGACATTCGAGACCTCGATGAGCGATAGATAGTGTGCGGTCAGACAATATTTATTGAGTGCAAAAAACACTCAGCATGTTGCGAGTTGCCTTCAGTCAAAAAGCCAAATGAGGGTTTCTCTTTGGCATCACTTTATCGCGGTTATGACATGGAATAAGACCAAGTGTGGTGCTAGTTTTTTTTAAAGAGAATAACTAAGTATGTAAATAACTGAGATAGTTAAGAGGGCTATGAGAAGCATGAATACCAAGTAGATAGATTCGCCAAGCGAAGGCCTAGATACGTAACATCTCCACGGATTTTGGACTTGGACATAAGCTGTGGCAGCTAATCTAGATAAAACCTTAAACTTATCTGCAAATTATCTGATATTGAATTGGATATCTATAAATTCTAGTATATTTATATAAATTTAATTAGGCTTTTAACTTAGTTTCTTATGTTTTATTGCTCGTTCTACTGAAAATATTGTATGCCATTCATATTTTCATATAGAAGTTGCAAGCTATATTAGATCCCTAGACCAAATTGGCTTCTAGCAAATATTGTTAGATAAGACCAATATACGGTGTTATATTTATACTCTGTTAGCTTCTCCCTCAAAGTATTACTTACAGAATTTTTATTTTGATTCCATTTTTAGAAACCTGGCGCTTTAAAGTTTCCAAGGCAACGCAAAAGACGCATAAGGCGACCTCTCACGCCATTTATTAAATATATAAAACTAAACGAAAGAACAATACGTTTTGGAGAATTGTATAAATAAATGTATATAGTGGGGCTTAGGTATTTTAGTGGTAACTTTCTTGGCCTAAGGCTCAGTTCTTATACAAAATAAGTTGGTTGTCCGGGCTCATATCGGTTAGCTACTAAGCCGATTTGCAGGTTTGGTTAAAATTCAGGCCATGCTCCGGTTATGCGCCCAAGTAGAATCTTTAATTTCATTGCAGCTCTTCACAATTGCAGTCGAGCAACTGCAGCAGCTCGGGAAATACTGTTCTTCGAGTTTTATTACCTTTTATTGGCACTGTCTACTGGAATGTTCGGGATGCTGCAGTCAAAACCATTGACCGTTAAGCATTAATGTCCTGTGGCAGCCAAATCGAACGGGGAACTTTTACGTGTTTGCATATTTTATGGGGCTGGTCGAACTTTAATTGGAACAATACCAATAAATGCCAAATGCAGAGCGAGCCAAGAGTTTGATGTGCATTGACCGGGATTTTGCTGCTGCGCTGCGGCTACAACCAAATCCCAATGCGTCGTGGCTCGCTGCACAGCCAAATCAACTCAAGGGACACACACACACACACACATACATACACACGAACACACTTACAGGAAGGGTAGCCGCAACAACCACAAGGATAACAACGGCTTTTAGCCGTTTTCCCGCTGCTGCTGCTGCTGCCGCCGCTGCAAGTTGCGGTTGCGGCCAGCGGCTCGCCGTAGACAACGAATCCAGTTAACAATTCAATGAACGCAATTACAAGCGACCTGGTCGGGCTTGTTGCCCTGGACAGGGGCTGGTGTGCGGGTGCTGCTGGGTGGCTGCTGGGTGACTGCCACACGTTGCACGTTGCCAGGACAGCGATTAGAGACGCGCTCAAATTAAACGTTTACAACATATTGTTGCTGACCAGTCGGCCGTTCGTTGCCTGCCAGCCCGTTCCGTCGTGACCAAAAAACGTGGCTATAAATGCTTGCCCCAAATGGTTGGCTGCATAATTTATGCGCACAATTCGTCGCTGCATTCAAATGCTCAACGTCTGCTGCCCATTTTGTTGCCTTGTTGCCTTGTTTTTGTGGCAACAGCTGACGCAGCGCTTCCGATTAATTAAAGCCATTTTATTGACTGGCAGTCGCTACGTCGTTTTTGCCACTGCGGTTTTACTCGCCACTTAGCGCGTGTACCACCAAAATACGTTCAAATTATTTTGTGGTCGGCTCTTTAGACTAGCAAAACAATTTATGCCAGAATACCCTGTAAGAATCTAGCATGTTAACTGAAAATTAACTACCGAAACTGCTTGTGCTGTCAAGCGATAAATGCACAACCCTAAATCGTTAGCGATATGAATATTTCTTATATGTACACACTCACATACTTACATGCATATTATGTAAGTATGTGAGTGTGTATGTTGGTATGCATGTATCATGTGTGACCTTTGATAAAATACGTTTTCCAACCTGACTTTCCGCTAAGCTGCAAATTAAAAAATAAAACATTAAAACTAGTGCCCTTCTATGCGATTCTCATAAGTTTAAGTAAGCCCTCCTGATTTGCATGCATTACCTAAAAGTGTGTTTGTGTGTGTGTTTATGTTCGTTTGTGCTTATTAACATAGTGTGAAGATATTTTGGTGCATATGTAAATTTGTAGGTGTGTATGCATGTATGTAACCATGTCGGTATGTATGTATGTGTGTTTGTGTGTATGTATGTATGTATGTATGTTTGTATATATGTATGTATGTATGTATGTATGTATGTATGTATGTATGTATGTATGTATGTTTGTATATTTGTATGTATGTACGTATGTATGTATGTATGTATGTATGTATGTATGTATGGATGTATGTATGTATGTATGTTTGTATGTATGTATGTATGTATGTGCATGCATGTAAATAATTTGTTTGTGTATGTATGTAAGTTTGTGTGAGTTGTATGTTTGAATATGATATGTGTGTAAAAAAATATGTGCAATACTGGAGAAAACGGCTTCATCTGTGGAGATTTAATTCGCTTTAATTTTGGAGGAAGCTGCCTATTCAGAAATGAAGGAGGAAGCGGCTTGCGTAAAGGAGGAGACGGCGTCTTTAACATTGGAGGAGACGGCCGCCTTAGCTTGAGCAAAGGAGGAGTCTGACGCTTATACTTTGAAGGAGGCGACGTTGTTAATATTGGAGAAGACGGATTTAACTATAGAGAAGACGGTGGCTGTGCATTTGCCGGAGGAGAAATTAACTTTTAATGTGGCAATTGAAAAAATTGGTACGTATTATATGCATACGTAAAATAAATAAAAGTGAAAACTATTAGAACAGTATGTATATATTTCAGCCAGTTTCCGTATAGTATATAGACTTCCTGAGTAGTGAAAATGATCTAAAATCTTATGTAAGAGAAATTCAAAGTTACTTTTACATAATATTACATGATCGTGTTGTCTTCTTCAATTCAATTGATATATGTCTAACGAGTGCAGCTCGATTTGGTACGCTTACCCAGCACGTTGCCGCCACATGGCACTTGCCTCTTTCTGCGTGACTCGAAAAACGGCTGTCAACGTGCGGCACGTGCAGTCGTATGACGAAGTTTGTCGCTGCCACAGCGTCTTGTGGCACGCTTGCCAACTGCTTAATCAATTACGCAACTTTGTAACAACATGCGACAGCCTGAAACTGGCAGCCGAACTGAGCTCAAGACGCCCTCACACCCAAACGTGGCATGCATTAGGCTATGGCCATGGCTATGGCTAAGGCTGGGGCATAAAAAGGCAGCTATCCCGAGGCGCCACTAAATTGACAGCTGCAGCCAACACCTTCCACTTGCAGTCGCACCCGCACATGCTGCGCCACTCGTTGCTTTGGCAAGTTGGCAAAGTGTTTTAAATTGCACGTTGCAAAAGTCGAAAATAGTTTAATTAAAATGCATGTGAAGCATTTTCTTTTCAACATTTCCTTCGGCTTGCATAATGAAATTAATGTGATCTTTCAACAGCAGCCTGCCCCAGGGCAAAATGTTCAAATGTAGTTGGTCTAATTGCAGCTTAATGCTAAGCATAACCATTTCATTTATATTGTAGAACCTTAATGAAATGAATACTTAAATAAAAAAAGAAGCTACCATTTTCACAGGAATTTTGACCAAGAAAATTGTGGCCAAATTGTTGCAGAATTGATCTAGAGTCCCGAACCAAGTAAAAATCGTATGAAATGTAACCACAGTTTCACTAAATGAACATTTCAGCTTCCTAGTTCCTTCTTTCCTGCTGCAAATAAAACTTCTTTGTTGTATGCCTAAAAGTGACTTTAAACGCAAAACAGGTTGAGTGAAAGAGACAGACTGAGGGTGAGATTGAGTGACTTTCTGACTATAGAATTAGAAATGATATAGGGCTAAGACGAGGAAGTACACTGCATACGCCGTGAGAAGTGCTAGTCGGCTTTCGAGCAGTTTTCCGAATTACCTAGTACAAAATGGGGAGATCACTTTATATAGTTGCTTTACAAATGGCAAACTCATGAAGCATTAACTCAGTTTTCAACATTTTAAGTTAGACAAAAAAATTCAAAAAAAGTGAATAATTTTCGGAAAATGTTTTAGGCCAGGCAATCGCGTTATTAGTAGAAGGAGAAGCCAAAAATGTCAACAACTACGCGCAAGTGCTTTCACAAAGTGACGCATGTCATCTTTGACAACGATGGCACTCTAATGGGTAAACTATATCCGGCTCGTAAGAACTGCATCCATATCTGATGTCTATCTCGTAGATACGGAAAATATGTACACGGATGTGGTGCAAGAAGTGCTCACGCCCTATGGCCATACCTACACATACGAGCTGAAAATGCGCTGCATGGGCAAGCTAGCGCCTGTGGCAGCCGAGCTGATGATCAATGAGTTCAATTTGCCGCTAACTGTGCCTGAGTACATGGCCAAGTTTGAAGCCGAGGTCGCTCGCCGGATATCAAATGTGGCCCTCATGCCGGGCGTGAGAGAACTGCTGCTGCATCTGTTCGAATTTCGTGTTCCAATGGCAATTGCCACCTCTTCCTTTCGCAAAACATTTAGTCTGAAGGCTCGGCCTCATTGCGAGCTGATGCCCGCCTTTCATCACATCGTCTGCGGTGATGATCCGGAGCTGAAGGCCGGCAAGCCTGCGCCGGATATCTTTCTGCTGGCAGCATCGCGCTTCAAGCCAACGCCACGGCCCGAGTGCTGTCTGGTGTTCGAGGACTCGCCAGCTGGCTTGCAGGCGGGCTTAGCGGCGGGCATGCAGGTGATTATGATACCCGATCCGCGAGTTCCGGCCGAAGCCACCAAGGATGCCACACTAGTGCTGCGTTCCATGGCCGAGTTCCAACCGGAGCTCTTTGGCCTGCCAGAGTTTGACAATATCTCGAAATTTACATTTGGATAGCGCTGTAAATTTTATTTATGCCTGTATAAAATTTAAACAGTATTTTTTAGGATTCGCTTGATATTTATTTTTATTCTCATATAACGGAGGTTCTAAGCAATCTGAAAAAGCATAGCTAACATTTATAAATAATATAAAAATATACTTATACACATTCCTGGATTTCAATTGCTGAAATTGAGTCTGAAGCGTTGAGGACTTTAATTTAATTAAGAAATGAAAAACTAACTTGTTTTGAGTCGGCGTCTATGATTATTTTCTGCACACTTTCGTTTTATTATTATTCCTATGAGTACTTGAATTTCATCATGTAATTTGCAACACAAAAATATACGCATATATTTATTTTTGAGTAATATCCAACACAGCCCAGTTGATGTAGCCGAATGGTTATATACTAAGTAGCTAGTTGCCCGGATCGGATCACTACATCAAATATTCATAGGAATAATCGGCCGGAAATTATTTCCTTGTTTCGATTACTTATTTGAAGATATCTCAAGACTTATTCGTACCCACAAAAGTCCCTTGTGTTGGAAATTATAGTTCCATTTCGAAAATATCTAAAGAAAGAATAGGTCCTCAGCCAACTCACCGATTACAACATTTTTTATTCTCTTAGCAAATCGCAGCAAATATAATATATATATATTGTACTATGGGAACTGTCGGTCGAAAATATAGCTTTTCTACAATAGCACTTCCAAGCCCCTTGACTACAAGAGTATTTAGTCTTCGGCGGTCTGTAGTTTGTTTTTCTTTCTTGTGTGTTTTTTTTTGCTTCTATTCTTTTATTCAGCTGCCCTTGAGTGCTTCCTGTGGCGTTCGTTCATTAGGCAAAACGGAAGTGGGGGGCGAATTGCAAAAAAATAATGATTCAAAAATAAAAAGAAAAGTCGCCGTCGCAGTCTAAAGAGTTAAAAGGTTTATTCACTTTACTTTTATGCGAACCGGCTAGCGGTTATGAGCCATAGACAGGGATTGAGATTGAGCTGAAGCTGGAGCCGGAGCTGGAGCCGGAGGCGTAGATGGCATAAGGCACCCTGACTGGCTTGGCAGCTGCCGGCGGTCTGGTTGGAACATTAAGTAATTATAAGTTGGGACCGAGTTTATGTTGTTGTTGTTGTTGCTCTTGTTGCCGTCAAAAGTTGCTAGTTGCAAGTTGGGCTGTGGCAGCTGTTTGCTGCATGCCGCACGAGCGACATCTTTGCACTCGAGCAGCCACACACGGCGTATACGTAATATGCTGAATAATTAAATTGTCAACAATTGACTTTCGGCAGACAAACAGACAGACAGCAAGACGGGAGCCAGACAGTCGTTAAAATCTAGTATTTGCCAAAGCAATTAATTTTGATTTATTGTTCGGTTCATCCCGTTTTTAACGGCATTTCAATCTGAATAATCTTCAGGTAAAAGCTGTAGCTGGAAATTGGAAAATTGTCAGCAAGTGTTAAACATGTTCCATATATACCCTAACGTATGGCATAATCATCTTGTGTGGAATTTTAGGCTCATTGTTAGCATATATGTGTTAAATGTAAAAGATCGGAGTCGTCAATATAGCTGTCTTCTATTTCTTGCAGGTCCCATAAATATGTTGTCATATATATATTGATTCCAAATCAATCAAAATTAATTTTAGGCATATATATGTACAAATTATACCCTTTAAGTATAATCAAAATCTGGCCGCCTCAACCGGACAAGCTTTAGCCAATATAAGAACCCATTATTTATTTTATTCCTCAATGAAACATTTCGATTTCCCTTGAGTCAACCAGATTTATTATATTTTGTAGCTTCTACAAGAGTAAAAAGTATTCCACACACTCATATTTATGTTTTTAATGAATTTTCTTACAATTTCCGTAATAAAACTATAAATTTGGTTGTTTAGCTTTTTTGATAAAACTTTGTTCATATATGTATGTATATATATAAAATCTAAGCTGGTTCTGTGGGTGGCTCCTCAACGTTTGTCTCCGGCGGCTCCTCTTCGTCCTGTCCGCTGGTTATAATCTCCTCTTCCGACTTTATGGCGATGGGTCCCTGATCGTCTGCACTTGCACGAACCGACGGTGCCGGCGGTGGTTCAGGTAAGGGTTCCAGATACGGCATGCCAAACTCCTCGGGATCAAAGTCGACAAGCGTTTCAAGGCGTTGCGTGGCCAGCTCAGACCAGCAACAGGGCAGATCGGGATCCGGCAACATAATCACCTGCAAGTGCGCCTCCCTGGCCGCCTGCACGCCCTTGGTGGTTCCATCGAAGGCCAAACAGCATTCCACACAGGGCGGATCACAGAGTAACGACATGGCAATTAAATAACAATCCGGTTCTGGCTTGGGACGATTATATTCATCGGAGCAGAGCACAACGTTGAACATAGCGAAGAACTCTTCGCGGCCGCGTATCTTCTTGCAGTATAGCGCTCTAGTGCTGGAGGTAATCAGCGCCAGGCCAATGCAATTGTCATACAAATGCTTGACGAGACGCTCGACGCCTTCCATCAGCGGCGGATTGGCAATCAGCTCACAGGTGTGTTCATTTAGCTGCACCAGGAAGTTCTCCCAGAGCACGGGCAGCTCGCATTTGCGGCATATTAACTGGGCCATCTCGTGCGTCTCCATGGGACCACAGCGCATAAGCACCTCCTCGGGCAGGGTCTTATTATAGCTGGCCAGCAGTTCGCGACAGGCGCGTTGATAAATATGACGCGTGTCTAGAAGAAAAAGGATTTCTTTTATATCATTTAAATAACTTGTGGCTCATCTTACCAAATACCGCCGACTCCAAGTCGAAAAAGCAATAGGCAGTGCATGGCTCACAGCAGGCCGGCGGACAGCAGAGACAGGGATTACAGCAGGGTGGGCAACAGCGCAAACATCGCGGCGCAGTTGCAGTTATTCGAGGTGTCCTATCGCACATGAAGTTGCTTAAAATATGATATATAAAATTTAAATAAAAATACCCTAAATACGACCAAAACTATGTGAAACACAGCATTTGCAAAGCAAACTAATTTTGGAAATTTTGTTGTTGTATTTAAGTGAAAGCACAAACTTCATTTATTTTATTTGAAAAAAAAAAAGAATATGGTCTCGCTGAATACATCATTCGAATATTTATATTGTAGTATTTCTGTGTTTTAATAATAATTTAATTATGTCTATGTATATTTAATTGCTTATCAACATCTATATCTCGTTCTAGACCCTGTATTTAATATCTACAATATATATAGTTATGTATATATTAATATATAATTTATTACAAACCCAATTTTTTATCGTAATCTCTGCCTAAATCATTTTCCATACATTCATGTATTAGCATATATTTTTACATTTTTCTGCGCTCATCTTTGCTAATCCATTGAAATCTAAAAATGAGAAAATAATGGTAAATCGAACTTATGATGATTACAGAAATTGTTTAATTATCGATTTGTTCAAAAGGCTTAACAGATTTTTGATCCTTATTATCGTAACACATACTTTTGCTTATCAACTTCTCCAACCCGCTGCCAGATTAAGTTTACAATATCCGCTCAAAAATTAAGCTGTTCAAATTCATGCAACCTAAATCCGTATATGAGAGGCGAATGCTTGACCTGGAGTGGGCTTAAATGAATGTAATGTGAATGCGAATGTGTAATGTGAATATGGATGTGAGTGGTTGTGGTAGCGACAACGACGGGATTAACATGTGTCGACGACGACGCTGAAAAGCTTTCATAGTCCTTTGCCGCATTCCACTAAATTAATGTTAAAATGCAAGAGCCCTGCGGGAGTGGCAGACGGCAGGGCGGCGGGGCAGCAGGGCGCGACTGGGCGTCAGCTGCGGGGTCAGCATCCATACAGGCAGCAATAGTCTTGTTTTGTTTGTATGTGTTCAGTGTCCTGTTATAAAGCATTAATCAAGCATACCTGCTGGGCAGAGAGAGAACGGGACAGCGATTCAGCGATAGATAGAGAGGGAGAAAGTGACCGAGAGAGTTCAGTCGGTGGGGTTGGCTGTGGCTTTGGCCTTTGCTTGTTTGCGGTGGCGACAACGACACACACACACACGCGCACACACAAGGACACTAAATTGGCGCTCATTATGATGGGCCTGAACCCACACACACATACATACAGGACATGTGTGTGTGCACCCCTGCAATTTTCCGGCTAAATGGCATACATTAATTAACGAGACTTGGCCGTTGGTAGCAGCATTAATTTGGCCAACAGCTCACGAAAAGATTAATGGTGCGCTATTAATGTGTAATGACAAATGTTAGTGCAGTCTCTCTCCCTGCACCCTCTCTCTCTCTCTCTCTCTCTCTCTCGCTCTCGCTCTCTCCCTAGCCACTCTGATTTAGTTGATCCCACCTGAGCTCATTTCCATTTGCCCAAAATGATTGAAATAAATATTTAATTAAAGTGCGCTCAAGTGTTGCAAGAGTAACAACAGCGGCAGCAGGCTCTAAATTTTCATAAAAAATGCAAAAGCACGCGTCGCCGGTGAGAAGAAAGCAACAACAATTACAGCAACAACAACAATGACAACGATATGCAATAAAGTGCGGGCACCAAAATGTGTCACAGTCAAACAAAAAAAAAAGCATTAAATAAATAACATAAATCAAGCCGAAAAAATATAAGCTGTCATACGAAACTCGAATGCTCTTAATAAAAATACAGATTTTTTTAAAGCGGGAATTCCTATATATATAAATATATATATATATATATATATATATATACATATATATATATATACATATATATATGTTAAATTAAGCGTTAAAAAGATTCTTTAAGTATCAAGTTTAATAATTAAAAAACACAAATATAACACAAGGAAGAATTAAAAATTGTGGGGCTTATTTGGCCATAGCTCAGTTCAAGGCAAAAAGAAAAGGATAGAGAAAGAGATAAAGATAGAAACAGATTTTGCAGCAAAAGTAGTTAGACAGATATTTATTAGACTATGAAAAAAAGTAGAAGTTATTTTACGATTTGGCCACTCCTTTGCAAACACGCTGTTATTGTCGAAACGACCCCTGGTTAGGGTAAACAAAGGCAAAAGCCGGCAACAAGAACTGAAACAACGTCAAGCGTCAAAGTGACAACAACAGACATTAGGAGACGCACATGAGACGCCCATGAGCCGCCCATGAGATGGAGATAAGGTGGCAAATGTGTGCGAATGGGACAGATACAGCACGATTTCAGGCTGTTGTGGCAACAACAAGTAAATAAATGACAAACTAAAGCCAAATTAAGTAAATAAAATTGTTGACGCTGTGTCAGGCGCATAAAGTGACGCTGATATAGCTGACGTGGAGACATCAGCCACCCGGCAGCAGTAGCTGGCTGTCAGCCTCATGTGTGTCCCGTGCCCGTGTGTCCAGAACAGGCACTTGGCCAAGTGGTCACAGCCAAGTGCACCCACCGATGTCAGTTCAAGTGACAAACACTGTGTACTGACAGCAAATAGTTGACTGCATTCACACAACAGTAGATCGCAATATAGACCCAATATTGTGTACTGTATACGATAATCTAAACAGTAAGATCTCCCAATATTAATTAAAGTATACCTAAGCTGTTGAAGTTTATCTTCCCATATTAATCAGCTCTACAACGCTCTACTTTTAATTCTTATAATTTCTTTATTTTTATTTAAATAAAGATTTATATAAACCTTTTATAGAGACCTTGTACATTGTTATTCTGATTGTAAGTAAAAACAATATATATATTTTATAAATTTTGATGTTTCTTAGGAATCCTCCAACATTTTTTTTAATTTTCATATTCCTTTTATATGGGACCTCTTTGAAAAATAGAAATGAAAATTGTTAATGACATCTCCATGGTCACTTTAATATCTCTAAATCCATAGAGATTGCATTTTTATCCATTGTCATCGCCGTGTCTTAATAGTGAATTCTACTAATATAACTAGAAGTAACTTTAAATATTACTTTTTCTAGGAATAAAGAGAACGTCAACCTTTGGATTCCAGCCTAGACAATCAAAAGACAGCCTCTATATTACGAGTTGTTTTACAATGGGCAGACAAACGCTGACATGTGTCAAAACGAAAGGCGCACAATTTATCAAAAGTAACAATAAAGCAAACAAAAAATAAGGCAAAAGCACACAGATACTGATACCCACAGATGGCTGCCCGAAACTTAAATACCCTGTCAGAGCTAGCATATAACAGATATATCATTTTAAATGAGAATTTTGAAAAGGTATCATCAATCTCTATTACATTTGGAGTACTACAACACTGCATCTTAGTCTATTCTTTTCCGTACTCCTCCAAATATGGCACAACATGCCCCTTAAGAATGGTATCGTATGCACTGCATCCAATCCAAAATCTAGCAAGAGAACTGTGGGCAATTGTTTAAGGCGTGCAATGGAAAGCAAAGTTGACAGACTAGAACCAAAACCAAAACCGAATCCGAGTCCAAGTCAAGTCAAGGGGACACTGACAATGGTCAGCGGCAAAAGGATGACAGAGAGAGAGAGAGACAAAGAAGAGCCACAACTGAGAGGAAGATATTCCCAAATTCACACAAGACAAACGGATTCTTATATGTAGCAGAGGATACCAAATGAAAAATTGACGCCCACTCGCCTCCTATGTGGGTTGGCTGCCGGCTGATGGGTCTGCGGTTCGTGGGGGCAACACTTGGCTCCATTCATCATGCCGAAAGCGATGCAAGTTTCCGGCTCAGTTTGAGAAAGCACCAGAAGAAGTCTTCTGACTGCCTGTCAGGGCACGGACTGTCATGCGATTATTATTGTTTATGTGTGCGATAATCTAGTGCATTGGCTTCATGACAATGGCATGGGCTACCCTTTTATTTTGGGCGGCACACAACTAAGAATTCTCAATTGTTTCGTTATCAGGGAAATTAATTGGACTGAATTCTGATGCAGATTCAAGACAAAGCCTTATATGGTATGTCTTCAAATTAGCAAGCGGTATTTAAGATTTTCTTAAACTTTTGCCAGGAATTCACTATCACTGAAATCTCTTTAATAATCTTTCTGATTTGTGCTTGAAAGGAGAGAGATATAACATTAACAACGCCAACAAAAATTGGAAGCCAAGAAAACAGTTTCAATTGATGCATATTCCTCTAGGCTCTAATAAAAAAAAATAATAAAGCAAACAATTATTTTTTTAAATTTTTTACGTAATATTTGGTATTTATAATTATTTGTAAATATAATTATGAAAACAATATTTATAATTATATCTTGATAAATACCATACATTCATATAATACCATATCATTTTTGTCTACAAATAATTGTATTTAATTATTATCAATTATTATAATATTATTTCAAGCAGATTGTTATCTTTTATTAAAATTCGTAATGAAGAGTGTTTCAACTTCGACCAGCTTGACAATTATTTTTAATGCGTTCCTTTTTTTTTTTTAGGTATATGTTAAATTGCGCAACAAATGAGAATTTTCTTGTTTAGATTATAATTTTTGTTGTTGTTCTTTTTGTCAGTTTTAGTTTGTGTGGTTTTTGTTATTGCTGTGTTGGTTTCGTTGGTTTCTGCCCTCAGCCTGTTTCTTGTTTATGTTTCATTAAGTTTTTTTTCTGCGTGTGTGTGTGTGTTTTTTTTGTCATTGTCGGACTCGACTGTTGCTGCAGCTGCATCTGTTGGATACTCGCACTCGCACTCCTCTCTGTGTCCACTGACTGATAAAACTAGTCGCAGTGTTGACTTTGGACCTACTGTAACCGCCCACCCTCCCCCAGCCGTGCCCCTCTGTGCACAACCGAACCACTTGGCTTTGTTGGTTTTTCACAGTAACAAATTAACAACAACAAAAATAATAATATAAATAATAATAATAATACGAGCAGCCAAAGGCAAAAAACCTAATACATGTGCGTGTGTGAGAGTATCTATGGGTGTGCGTGTGTGTGTGTGTGTGCGTGTGTGTGGGTACGTGTGTATGTTTGGTTGGTTGACTTTGGCTTTCTAGCTTTTTGCCTGACCAAATGCAACAAAGTAAAATGCAATTACGCTCGTATCTATGGCACTTGCAATTGTTCTCGTTTTTTGCACTGTGTGTGTGTGTGTTTCTGTGTGTGTGCCTGTGAGTGTTTATTCAAGTCATGTTGTGTAATTTTATATTGAGGTCAGCACTGCTGACTGTAATTTTTAAAAGTTGGCATTTTGTTTGACCCGCACACAGCTCAAAAAGTTTCGGCTGCTCCTTTTGTGTGGGTCATGGAAATTGCTCGCATTGCATGCGATTTCCCATATGGAAATTGGCCATCAAATGCATCTCTTTAATTCAAGCATTTCTTTGTTGCGCTGCATTTAAATGATTTTATTATTGTTCATTTAACTCCATTGAACATCGCTATCGCTAGTGGATTCTGGTCTTGTTCTTAAATGTTGTTGACACTGCACGGTTGAAAAGTTTTCTATCAATTTCTCTTCATCTCTTTAAATTTTAAATATACTCAAGTATATAGTGTAGCTTAAAGACTTATATCGTCGTAGAAGTTATGATAACTTGGTCATTAAAGTGTAACGCGTAGAAGAAGACATATCCGAATCCACATACTATTTATATTTATATACCCATGCCATGCTTCTACCCATGTCTGCTTCTATGCAAACTAGTCTCTCAGTTTTGAAGCCATTGGACGCTTAAAAGTAGGCTCTTGTGCAAAAACTTTTGTTTTAAACAAGACATCTTACTAAAACTTGTAATTTTTAAGTTTCACCATGATCGCCATATATTTGCAAAATCTTATCAACTTCGAACCACTTTATCATATACCTGCCATGTAAACGGTAAAAAACTTGTTTGTTTATGGTCTTTTCCCGGTACATGCACTTTTTTTTCATTTTTAAGCTCCAGAAATTTTGAATTAGTCTGCATTATTCGAAGAGTTCTTTAGAATCACTTGAAAAGAGTTTCGAGTATTGAACTAACGAGTCTTTTGCCACTCGCTACTTGTCGCAGCGGAGTGTGGCAAGTGCGCAGACTCAACAAAAGTCGCTCTGTTGCTCATTCAGCTCAACAGGAGATAACTCCAAATGGAGCTGTCCAAACAGCTGCTGGACAAGTCACCTCAGACTGGGTGGACTGGTAAGGCGCCTGTTTAGTTGGGGTCAGAAGTCTTACAGAATTGGATGGGCCCATGGAGCCGACAGACGGGTAGCTGGGGGTTACTAAACAAATGACGATTTCACCTGACTTGCAATTTGACTTGTTGTTGTTGTTGTTTTTTATTTTTAATGTTAGAACATAAAAAATTACCATAAATTGACAACGTAAAAATATTAATAAAGCACGCTTGAGCGCGTAAACCTGATTGCGAGTCGTGTGCGTGCGTGGCACTTAAATTTTTATGGACGCAAAGGATTTTGTTGAGCATGGCAAGCATTTCGACTGTATTTAAGCGCCGCATGAAATATGCATGAGACGCTGTCTGTGCCAGGACAGAGCTGGACAGCAATTGAATTGAATTCATCGTATGCATCCCATATATCGAATGCAGCTGTCCAGCGACAACAATGCGACAAGGCCAAAAGTCGCCGAACCGTGAAAGCGGCTCAAAGGACATTCCCAACAATTTGCATCTGTTTGGCCGGTGGCAAACATTTTCATGCGCGTATTAAAAAAAAGAAGAAGAGTACATATTTCCACGGCATTGCAACTTTATTAATAGTATTGTCATTGGCCCAGCTCCAGCTCCAGCTCCTGCGGCTAGTACGTGCGCTGGCATAATTACCCGACTGGCGACATCCTCTGGCCGGCAGTGCAAAGGTCCTGCTGTCCGAAAATTGCCAATCGCCGAGATAATAAAAGCACATAAATGCGAACCGCGTGCGACGGCCAGCAGCAACAATATTTTAATTAACTTAATTAAGCCATTTTTATTTGCCACGGTCAGGTGTTAACTCACACACACACACACACACAAATGCAAACAACAAAAACAGCATGCGTGCATTGTTTACCTTATGATGCAGCTCGATACACAAAGATTAACTCAAAGGACTTGATCGATGTGCGGTTCCAGCATCTGTGAAAGCAAATATTCGTAACATATGTTCGACTGGCAGACACACTGTGGAAAGGGCTACACTGCACAAAAACTATTATATGTTGTACCAATTTCGAGGTCTGCCTAGGTGATTGTTATATCAACTTGACTTTAACCTGGGCATAATAATATAAATAAAATACATTAAGCTTTTGTTCCCACGAGGAATGAATTATTTAATGCGAAATGTGACTTTCTTATCTTAAAGAAACTCATTTATAAAATTGTTTATTCGTAAAGTATTTTTAGTTATTTAAAAACACAACATTTTTAATTTAAATCCAAATGTTCTTTAATTAGAACAAAGCATTAGATATAAATCCTATGACTCAAATTCCCATTTTCCAGCGCACCTTTTTCTCAACTTTTGAGGTTCTTTGGCACTTTATGTTTATTATCAAAATATCAATTTTCCTCACAGCCCAACTTTTGAGTTGTGGCATTATTCGTATAGAAATTGAACAAACTGATTTCTAAATGCCCGGCTTTAATATTAATGTAGGTATCTATACTTTGAGAGAAGGCGTAAGCTATTTCCTTACCCAAAATGCATTGCCAGTTGTGCAGCCCCAATGATTTTTCGAACTCTTTCTTGATGGTTTGTGCGACAAATGCTTTTTTATTGAAGTTCGGCTGGGCCTTGACTATATTGAGTGCTGACTTTTGCATTTCATCTGGCATATTGGTTTTCTTAATTGCAAATGAACGCGGCTTGAAACGATTGGGTGTGGCTTTAGCACCAAATATTGATGCTTCCAAATGCGATAAAATATCTTCGTTTCTTTCAATATCCCTTTCAGTTTCCTCTAAAGCTGTGTCCAGCTCCAGCGGATCCAGTAGCTGCGTTTCATCATCAAATGAACCGTGGCTGAATTGATTTGGTGTGGGTTTGCTTGTAGCCCCCAATATACTAGCTTCCAGTTTCGATATAAGAGCCTCGTTTCTTAGAATATGCCTTTCAGTTTACTCTAAAGCTCTGTTCAGCTGCAGCACTTGGTTCGCTGGGCCATCCAATATCGACCGAGGAAATGTTGCTAATGCCACACTTCCAAAGACCAGCAACATAGGAAGTCTTAACATATTATAAAATATTTATTTGCGTTGATGGATCTTGAATTCTCTACGAGCGCAACTGCAAAACAAAACTAAATCTTGGCGAGTAATTCACAGCTTAATAACTGCCATCAACCTTATCACCAGCAACCATTTATTTCAAAAGAAATTGCAAATTTTTGGTGTTGAATACTTAATACTCTAGGATAAGTATTTATTGCTCGCTGCATCGTCACGACTTTAAACTAGATATGTGTTGGTTTTTAGCAATTATTAGACATGGTTTGAAGATAATTAAGTTTAAGTATAAACCAAATATATTGCAAACCTGATATTTATTAGCTTGATCCAGCTTTGGTATTTATCAGGCCTGCGAAGTCGTAAATGCCCATCGCAATAGCATAGCATGATTGTACTCTCCCCAACGCCACATGCTTTATCAGCTTCGATGCGGTGGTTGGTTGACTCGAACCACATTTTTTTAATGTACATACATACATTTATACCGACATATTTATATTTTAAACACAAAAATGTACCAAAATCCCAAGTTTTTACTGTCGACAGCATTGATCTTCAGCGATAGCTCAAGCATCTGTTGATGGTAAAATTCTAGAAAATCCTATCGACAACCATATAATAAAAAAAAATGTTTTTACATTTTATAAGTATTTAAATAAAAAATTAATTAAGATTATCGAGCAAGAAGTTGCGCCTTTAATTTTTTAAATAACATTGCTTAATATCATGGATATATTATTGTTACAGCGGCTGATCACATCTCAAGAGATGATAAAAACAAATAAGATTCTTAGCTGATGTAATTGATTTAATCCATTTCGAAAGTTGTGTGAATTGAAAACTAATGTAAATTTAATAAACGCGATTGTAAGTGTAGGTTGCTTGGGTTGATCGGTTAAATATAGCGTCATGCCACTCCATTTGCTCAGTGTTGCAAGATATAGAAGATTCTAACAGTGTGCCATTTCAAATCAGAGTTCTTGGTGTGTTGTCGATATGTGAAGTAGATGGAGAAGGGGCTACAACAACGAAAAAGGCGAACTGCAAATGTTTCGTGTGCGTGTGGTATGTGTTCGTGTGGTATGTGTGTGTGTAGAATTGGGGGCCATCTGGGGTTAAGTTAACCGCTCTTGAATAACAATATGGCCACCTGTCCCAAGTAAAAGTAGATGAAGTGGCGCGTCTCGTGTGTCACATACGATCCAAAGTTGCGTCCAACAATGCAATGCCATGTGGGATTGTACTTCTTGTCGAACTCCTTCTTGATGTAGGCCGCAATGTCCTTTTCAATGTTGTACTTCTCCAGGGCCTGGGTAGCACAATCCACAGCATCCTGCTGCATCTCCTCGCTCATATCCGCATTTTTGATGACTGCCTTGCGATCTGACATCTTGGCGCTATAGTTTGGTATTAATCACCAGTTCTATGGGAAATCGTTCGCTTTATTAACTGAATGTTAATGTTTGTTTGTGGTCTCTAGGCACCGGCACTTACATTGTGGTCGTTCTGACTATCAAAATATCCAACGAACGCCGATTTCGGATAATTTTGTCACAGAATTCTAATTTTTAATAATAAGCAGGCATTAGTTTAAATTTGACTGATAAATCAATTGTCTATAGATGGAACAGCATGAAAAGAGTGAAGGCTGCTCGAGACTTACGCACAAAATTAATTCACTAATTTAATTTGCGCACTATTTTCACTAAATAGCCTTGGCAATGACAACTCCACTGAAACGTTGCCCTAGTGTTGCGAAGCGCTGAAATTTATCATATGGCAACGCTGGCAAAGTTGCAGTGTGCTTTTAGCGTCTCGTATATTAAACAAACGAACTCTCGCTGATACGTCCTTTCGTGCCATTTTTTGCTGTTTACATTTAAATATAAATTATCCCGCCTAATAAAAAAACGTAATTATTAGTTAAAAAGTAAAAGTTTAAGCGCACAGAAATTTTTATTAAATTTTGCTTTATAAGAAAACTGTGTGAGAAAGAAAATGTAAATGCAACAAATATATGTATGCTTCATCCAGAACGTGTTTTATTTCAGGTAATCGAGTCTATATTCGCTATTTCTTGTACAATATGAACATCTATCATGCTAGCCTACATCTGTCCGGTTAACCGCTCTTGAACAGCAATACGGCCACCTGTCCCAGGTAGAAGTAGATAAAGTGGCGAGTCTCATGTGTCACATACGATCCAAAGTTGCGTCCGACAATGCAATGCCATGTGGGATTGTACTTTTTGTCGAACTCCTTCTTGATGTAGGCGGCAATGTCCTTCTCAATGTTGTACTTCTCGAGTGCCTGTGTGGCACAGTCCACCGAATCCTGCTGCATCTCTTCGCTCATATCCGCATTTTTGATGACTGCCTTGCGATCTGACATCTTGAAGCTATTTCTTTTCGGTTATCTGCGAATGGTTTTAGAAATTTTTAAGGGTTTAATGTTAAAGATTTAATGGTGCAGAAAAGCACAATTTAAAGACATACCTTGTGATTGTTTTTACTCTCAAAAAAGTGCAGTGGACGTCACAGAAACACCAATCTGGAAAAAATTTGGTCGTCACAAGGTATTTTTGGAAAGTTTTGAAATGTGAGATTAGTTTATTTTGACTGAGAAATCAATTGATTCGAGGACTTTTACGTACGCAAACAATTCTCAATTGGAATTTAAATTTGTCACGAGTTTTCGTTTCAATTTGTCAGGAATTTTTGTTTGTTCGGCGAAGTAGTCGTTGTGGCAGCACTGCCAAAGCTGATATATAACAGATTTCTGTTATCGATAATTCGATAGTATTACAATTAAATAAGCACGCTCCTATAAATGGTTGATAAATTGCACGCCGGAATTTGCACTTACGTCGAAATTTCATTTAAATTTATTTTTTATTTTTTGGCCGGACACGTGATAAATGCAAATGCACAAGGCAAAATGAAAAACTTGTTAAATTCGATGAGACATGCAATCGCGGTGCACGAAAAGGAAATTGAATTTTAATAATAGCATTTGTGCAGCTAATCAAGTAATGCAACTAATTTGAGGTCCCTCTTTTTTTAGCCTTTACCGGACGTGGACACGGATCTAAACACGAACCAACTGTTCAACGCCCAATTCAACGACAACATTGCGAACAAATTTTGCTTGTTTTTTAATGAAACGCTAATTTACGGCACACACGCAACCAACAACCAGCCCATTGTCCGGGTAATGCTTATGGTAGTTACCACATTGCAGACCATTGTTAAAAAATAATAATAACAACTAGATAAGTAAACACGCATGAATGAGTCCATTTGGAGTCCAATTTGACCTGATTTGCCCTGAAATGCGTAATATCGTGTATCGTTTTATTAAGTAGAAAGTAATTTGAAATATTGTGGCATAGCTATGCAGAAAATATCTTTTACTAATTCGAGCAATTATGTTTATTGCCAATTTGTGCTCAGAAATTTAATTCAGATATTTTGAATATTAATCGGCATTTAGCAGCACTGGTTAACTGTCTATGCGCTAAACTGTTTCGTTCTTAAGATTGAGAAGTTCAAGATTTTTGAACCATTCGTTAACTATCTCAAGCATTTTTTTAATCGGTCTACGTTCATAATTTCCGTTGTGCAGAAACAGAAATTAATGAAGTGGAGAACAGTCTTTTTAAGCTTTTGCGAAACATATACTTTTATTTTTTTTTAGCAAATTAATTATAAAAGTTTCTGTACATAAATTTAACCGGATTAGTACATATCAACTCGCCAATCTAATATGTGTTGGAACTACGGAATTTGATACGTAATTCCAATTTGGATAGGTTACTTTGCAAGGATAGATTTTGCCTTCCCTACATTATGTGCTTAAATAATTTTAAAGTGCATTTTAAAATCACTTTGCTGCGCCTTATGTCGTTTGTGTTGTTGTTGTCGTTTTCACGCCCATGGCCCACTTGGCTAGGAAAAGTGCAAGAATGCCAAAAAGCCAAATGCATATTGAACCTACTCAGGATGTTGCCAAGTAATGCAGACAATGCAAAAATGTTTCTTCTATTTTTATTTTTCGGCCCACAAAAAGTTGCGCTGGGAACAAAAGTTTTTAATCTGCCGCATGGAAAACTTTAATCGAAATGCTCGAGTGAGGAAACTAAGTCAAACTTTTCAAATTGATATATCAAACATTCGATTCGTATGCCTTTTCCTATTCCCGAGGTGCCTCTCTCTTTCTCCCTAGTCCCGAGTGTGTGTTGGACTGTCTCATCTTGCGCAAACATTTTGACTGTCACATGCCAATTGCGTGTTGAAATGCATGCAGGAATTTAAGCTGAAAACTTTTCCCACCGACTGTGACAAATGCAAATGCCAAAGTTTTGCCCATGCTCAACACTCACACAGACAAATATGTAGATATATGTACTATCTATCTAAAGTTGCATTTTAGTTTGCACGCCTAAAAAGTTGACAAAAAAGAGCGACTCCATTTGCTAGTGCTCTGGAAATGTAGAGATTAAAGAGCCTGAGCTGACCTTTTGGCACTCCAGCAAACAATGCACTTTAGAAAATCCCGCACTGCACTTGACTGTTGCGTAACTTCAAATCCAAAACGTGACTTTGTTCATTTTTGTAAACATTAACAACAGTTTTTCACTTTATTTATTGTTTGTTCTGTTTGAGTCAGCTTCAAGTGCTGCTTAAATAAAAATTAATAGCAACATTTTATAAAGGAATTCAGTTTTAGTCGAATAGTTAAATAAATTAAGTATAGGACTTTTTTATATAACATTTTAATTTATAATGTATGTAACACTCATTATTTATAATATATTTAAAATATATCTGGCCAGTTTCGCATTTCGATGCCTTTTTGAACTTTTTGACATCGCGATGCTAAGTTTTGGCCAAGAGAAACGATTTTTGCGACCCACAGTGCATCTTTCGGAATTAAGGCCGAACCAGAACACTGAGAGGGCCATTATTTGTAAGTAAAGTTTTGCTAAATAAATAATTAAATTATGCATAATATGTGGACTATTAAAGAAGCCAGCATGTGTATGAGTAAATCAGAAAGTCAGACATAAAAATTGAAACGCCACACCTAAGTAAGCCCTCATAACTTTGTAGGGTATCGTGGTAGCAACTTTTTTGATTAAAATGTAGTATATATAAACATAAAAAATTAACTTGTTTAGGATTGCCAAGCACATAGTAAAAAGTTATGACCGCCAATGCAATTGTCGTGTCAGCAGCAACACGAAAAACTCGACAACGAAATTCAAATAATTTGATGAAAATTTTTAATTAACCAACGCTTGTATGAATATTCACTGGTTGCTTTTAACACTGGTTATGGGCGTTGCCCACCGCAAAACGCAAATATAGCAGGCGAAATTAATTTGCCCAGTGCAAATATGCAAAATTCTGTGTGCGGTGTCATAAATTTCAGCAGTGAGAAGGCAACTCAACTCAACAAAAACCCAACCAAGCCATGTAAATAACAAAAATTTTTCGCTGACGCTGTGCGAGTGCGAGCAAAGTCAAACAGAGTGCAAATATAAGCACACACTCGCACACACACACACAGGCAATTGCAGTGCAAGTCATCAAGCAGTCGGAGTTTCAGTTCCAGTTGCCAACTTGGTCTCAGTCTTCATAACCCAATTGCCACAATGCGGCGGCTTCAGCTGCTGTGTGGCCTTTCCAAGAAATTTCACCTGCCATGGCAACCCTAGACAAAAGCTACGTCAACAAACACCTACACCTAGACTCACACACACACACAAGTATACGCACACACTGAGTGTATATGTAGATATTTAGTGGTATTATGGCCGGCTAGCTTACGAGTAGTTGACGTCTATGACTGCCAAATACTCGTACTGCCACTTGCTGTCGTCAGTGGCACTCTGCCACTGGCACTGCCACATCCAGCAGCAGAGTCAGTCGCAGTTGCTGGGAGTTAGTTACCCAGCGGCCGCTGCCGCTGTCATAAACAATCTCATTTTGGTAATCAAGAAAACCCAGTGAACAAATTGTTGCAATAATTGCAAGCAAGTGTTAAATGCAGTCTAGGGCCTTAATAGCTATGTGAGTAATTATCTTAATTGCAATTACATTGTAATTACATATAAAAAGTAAATAAGTTATAAAACTACTCAAAGTGTACTTGTAATTTTTATTAAATTTATTTGTGTTTTTTGACAAATCTAGAGTTTGGGGGAAGATTGAATTATTTGTAGTTTCTAGCAAGCATTTTCTAATATATCAAACGATTTTCTACTTCATTTGTAAGTTAAATTTTATAATTTATTTGATTATAGAAATAACCTGGTAAATCGCAGTTCCCGTGATATTTTCATTACTAGTTTCCAGTGAAGTCAAGGAAAATGTTTGCTGGGCAGCTAAGTGCTTCTGGCCAGTTGCATGTGTATGCGAATATCTGTGTGTGGGTGTGTTTGCGTGCGTGCGTCTGTGTGGGTCTCTGCTCATTATGCATAAATTGTCGCTGCGAAAATTTGCAGCGCTAAATTCTGACAAAGTTAATGGCATTATAATGCCAAAACGCCGCTGTCTGGCTGCCACAGGGTGTGAGCGAGAGGCACAATGTGTAAGTGGGAGAGTCGGTAAGAGAGGGGCAGAGCTGTTGCAGTATTAGCCAGCGGCTTTCGGTTGCCCGTTGAGCTGGCAGCTGCATGAAGTGCTGCTGCTGGTTACCGTGTGGCATGTTGAAGCCATGAGTTGTTACCAAAAACTCTGTCGATTATTTGCAGCCAGAGACGGCGGGCGGTGTGATGAAGGGGGGTCGTTTTCGAGGCCGTTGCAAATGACCCTCGTTTGCTAGGGTCCAAACAACAGGTCAGCTAACAGTTCTGACATTGGACTACATGGGTCACAAATGTTAGCATAAACACACACACATACATACACACTGACGGCTTTAACTTGTTAACTTGTTGCCAACATTATCGCGAGCTGCTCGCATGCGCTTCAGCGCCACAGAACATGGCTTTGATGCAACAACCACAGCAACTGCAACAACAATAAAACAAGTGCAAATACAATCGCTGCTTGGCTATCGTCTCGGCTGTTTTTGCTGCCGCTGCTGCTGCTGTTGCGTTGTTCACTTCCTGCACACGCCGCACGCGGACGCCACCGCAAACTTGCGGCAGCGCCCTGTTCTCACTTCCGGTTTCCGGCTTGCCAGCTACTAGTTGGTTACTGTTAACTTGTTTTGATTTTTTAATGGCTCGCATGACGGCAGCAGCAAAAACGGCAGCAACAACGACAAAAACAAGCTCAACAACGGCGACAACATTTATGCCTTCCATAAATTCTTGACTTAAAGCAGCTACTAAAGTTGAGTCGCTCACAAATTAAATGTACATTATTTCTGTTAACGTTAGTTAGCGCATAAAAATATGTAACAGAAGACGAGACTTGCTCAATAAGATTTTCTTAGATTTATGTTAGTTCATTTATGTTAACTGTCGTGCCTTTGTTACCTATGTTAACAGTTGGATGAGTTGAAAGAATTTAATCATAACTTAACTTTTACCATGATTTAAATAAATCTTTGCCAATGTATAGTATGCCAGACAGTTAACACCAATTAGGAGTCTTTTCTTTTCTATAATCAAACCTTGAAGCTAGTTAATCATGCCGAACTGCATGAATTAACATAAAAGAGCGCAAAAAGCTCGTTTGTTGTTTGTTAAGTTGTAAAGAAATCAAGTTAGGGGCTAGTTATGAGCATGAAAGGTTGTCCTGTTTCAAGCACGAGTTGCGTGACTTGTGGCAAACAATGGCAACGAGAACAAGGAACAATCGAAAAGGTGTTGCCTAGACTAAAGGACACACCACAGTGGGCAGCTCCTGTTGGGCTTTTGTCATGCAAATAGCTCAACAAGGCAGGCGGACCCCCAAAGACAAACCCACGATACAAAATTAAAAACAAACAGCAGGCAGGCAGACAAGTTAACAGTGCTTACCTTCATATACAACTCACGCCCTCCCCACCTGATAGTCGCCTGCTGCATGCCACATCCATGTTTCACATGCAACTTGTATAGTCCAAAAATAAAAAAAAAGGCAGAGGAAAACAAAGAGCTGCCAACAGCAGCAACTGGCAACTGGTTGACGTTAAAAGGAAGCACAAGTCAAGACAGAAAACTTTTGTTGCTCTGCCTTCTTCTTCTTCATATTATTGTGCTTGTGCTTCTTTGTGGCATTGTTGTTGCTGTAATTGCTGTAACAATTGCCGCAGTCCGAGACTGAAACGGAGGCCTGCACAGCCGTCAATTTTAATTACGTATGCAATTTATTTATTACCTTACCGGAAATATTGTGCAATTGTGTGTTGGCTACGCCTTAACGATAAACAGAGAGCAGGGCAGAACGAGAGGCACAGAGAGAGAGAGAGAGGGAGAGGGTGAGAGAGGGGTGACATGATTTAACATGCGGTTATCAAGCTATTTTTCATTTCTCAATTGACTCTTGTCATATGGGCCAAGGCATGCACAACGTACACTTTCTGCTTGGTCTTTAACATGCAACTGATTTTCAATTTTATAAAATAAGAGCTTCGTTTAACCGAGCTGCTTTCTGCTTAGCTCTTGCAAATTGATAGATATTTCAATTGTTTATTTATGAATTAGCCAGCAATTCGATTTTGGAATTTAATTTGAGTCTCTCTTTATTAAATGTATCAATTCACATTTCAATTTATGTATTAAACTATGCGCATAGACACTTTTGTTTTACGGGTTTTTAATTCTTTTACACTTTTATAACCACGCTGATTTAGTTACTTCAATTCTGTTTTATGCGGTATATTCAGTATGCTAAGATTGCAAGATTCAGTTACCAAACGTAAAGCATAATTCGACTTATATATTGTTAAGCACTTTAAACATAAATTACTTTGCAGTTGAGGATATAAACATACTTTAAGAGCGACATCTGGTAAGTCCTTATGAATTAGGTTTCTCCTAGTACAAATGTAGCTATATAAAGGAATGCCGTCAAAGCTTTAAAGCCATATATAAACGCTTTTTGTTGTTGTTGCTGGTCTTATTTGCCAGCATTTTTGTTGCGGCATTTGTAAAGTGATTTATTTCGAGAACAACAAAAGTTGAATGGCCATTTAGGAGCAGGCGCACGCGTGTTTTTTGTTGCCTACTTTTGAGCGCTTTGACGCAGCACGAACAAAATTTAAATTTTTAATGCTATTTCGCGTAATTTGGCAGTTCGTTAGGCTTGTTAAGAGACACACATATACACAGCCACACAAAAAGTCGCCGACTCATAAATATGAAAAACAGCCAAAGAAAAAAAATAAACGAAGTGCCGCATTTGCGGTCTGCCTATGTGTGTGTGTTGTTCGGTGCGTATGTGTGGGTTTTTGGCGCTCGTTATGAGTCACATGACACATCGTTATGTTTTGTTAATGGACTCTCGCACAGGCTCATAAATGTGCCGGCAGCAAGACAGCAACAGCAATGACAATGGCAACGCCGCAAAAGCACATCAAATTATATTTAATTATTTAAATCATGTTAATTTGCATGCATTTAAAAGATGCCTAAGATCTAGTCGCAGCACGCGGCGTATGCGCAATTTCAGCATTAAAGTGCGTCTAAGTGAAACGCAAACACGCACACACGCGTGCAGAGCAAAGATGAGCTTGTCTGCACTTTTGCTGCTGCCCCCCTCCCCCCCATCCCCCTCACCCACAAAATGTCGAAAATGTAACTTTAAACTGGCAACAACGATAACAACAACAACATCAAACACTTTGCTGGCAGCGCCAACTGCATGCGTGTGTTTACTTTGCGTTAATGAAGTTGTGCGCCAACTGGCCCGGCGGCCATGTGACAGTGTGTGTGTGTATGTGATTGGGATCTCCCTTCGCCTGGGCAGGCAGACAGCTTAGCAGCAGCGTGGGCCCAGGTAACGGCAATGGCAACAGTAACGGTAATGCCATTGCACATAAGCGCAAATGAAATTCGAAGTAGAAATGGGAAGTGCCAATGGAGGCGAATGTACCAGCACGAGCAGACATCAATGTCAGTGAGTCTTCTATGCAATTAGTACTTTTGTTGATTAAGTCGCAAATGTATGTGTGTGTGTGTGTGTTTGGGTGTAGGCAAAATTTCTGTCTGTGCATCACATTTTTTTGGGGGTGCGCTTTTGACTTTGTAATATTCAGCTTTGTCTAAGCGAGGCAAAATTATAAATTTTTAATGGGGACCAAAACAGGAAACTGTTGGCAAGGTTAAAGAAGGAGAAAATATTTTGATAAGTATGTGAATTGATGCACGGCTAAGACTATTTAAGTCAGCAATAAATCGAATTTGTACATCTATCTAGAGTTTCATGCCCTTTAAAGGGATTCTACTGAAATGTTCTAACTCGATAAAAAATATGAAAAAATATATATCGAAATAGACTTAAACGTTTATAAAAATAACGAAGCACAGAAATTATAATAATCAAGCTTTTTATATAACATTTACAAGCTGTTTTGAATTTCAAGTTATTTTAATATATTTTATTAATTTAATTTTTAAAATAGCCAACCATCTTAACATAAGACTGCGTTGGTCTTTGAGTTACTATTCAATATATTATGTACCCCTATGTATAGATTAAATATGCAATCAATTACGAAAAAGCTGGCAAGACTTAAAAACCATTTCTCAGCCGCAATCGCGAGCAATAAATTCCAATATAATCAAAGGAAAAACTCAAGACAAGGCCTCGTTTCTTCTCATGCATACGAAATGCGCTCTCGTCATTTATGCGCCGCTTGAAATATGTCAATCCTTTGTCATTTTATTATTTGCTGTTGTTGCTGCTGTGGGCTGCATTTGACAAGGAGGGCAAAGGAAAAGGGCTGTAGTAACCGTGCATAACAATTTGACAACCGCTTGTGTTCCGCAACGGCAAACGCCTGCCATCTAAGCAGTACAAAATTCAAGCAGTTACTTTTTATTGACAACTTTGGAAATTGTTTTTACCGCAACAAAACACCAACACACACAACACACAGAAATGCCATGCCCAGCTGCTGTAGCTGGTTAGGTCTTTGAGTGGTCGCCGCATTTCCAATCATTTCCGCAGCCTAAAGTCGATAAGGTAACATTTTTGACAACAAGTTCGTGATTTTCATGCAAAAATGTAGCAAAACAAAATGGCAAACTCCTCCCCAAAGAACCGCCAGCCAGCCAGGGGTGGTGCTTGGTGGGAACTCTGTTGCTTATCGATTTTAAAATTACATAGGTCGCAAGTGTAAGAAAAGGAAATACAAAATTAGCAGCAAGCGCCGCCAAGCGACTCGCCCTTTGCAACAAAAAATGTAGCATACTTTTTCGAGCAATTTGAGAGAAACTGCCATAGTAGCCGGCATATTTGCATGGCACAGCCAAAGCTAATGTTTGTAATGCTATGCCAAGAGCAAACATTAGCCAGATAGCTGGCAAAAGTGTGCACACTGTGTGTGTGTGTATATGTGAGTGGGTGGGTGTTGCGTTATGTGGAATGGAGGGGTAGCAGCTGGCTGGCTAACTGCCGGCCTGGCAGGGCAAATATTTTTAAAGGCTTGCATTGACTTTTTGGATTTATGCGTCCACAGTTACCAGCCCCAAAATACAACCCCAGCATGTAATAAGTTGACTGCTAGCTATATGGTCGAAGGGTGGGAGCGGGTATGGCACTGCAAAAATATCGTTACAGCCCCAGAAGTCAAATATGCTGCCAAAGTTATTGATGGGCGCACGCAGCAAGACAAATTTACTTAAATCTTTTTAATGTTTGCACATTTTTTACACTTTCCATTATTTTTATTTTCACTTTTTATTTTTTCAATACTTATAAATATGTTTGCTGTATGCCAACTTATACTTTTTTCCAGCCTCGACTGCCTATTTTTCTGTTATGCGTTTGATTAGCCACATAGATCATTTTGACAGGGGCATATTTTTGAGGCCTGTACATGACATAGAGGAAAATTAATAGGAAATTGGGAAACAACTTTTACCAGCTGTCGACTGAGTTAAAAAGGGAAACGGGAACCTAATTCTAGGCTAGCCTAATAATGTTTGCCATGGGATCGAAAATGACACCATGGAAGATTTCTTGTCAAAAACAGTTTAATAAAACATTTGGAGCTGTCATAAAACGGAAACACGTAGATTATGGGCGCAACCTTTTTTTTTCAAAAATTAAGCTAGGCTCAATAGTAATTTTTAATGTCAGAGTTAATTTAAGAAGTTTATTTATCAACTGCTACAAACTAAATTTAGTCCAGATTTCAATTATTTTATAAAGAAAGAAAAGAGATTCCAAGCTATAGTTAAGCAAATTTTATTTATGATATTTGTTTAGCATCTCTATTAAAACGTTAGCAAAACCGTAAATAGAAAAAGAACTTAGCTAAGACTATTAGGCTTTATTAAAAAAGAAACTTAGGATTGGCTTGCCCATGTCGAAATGCCGTGAGCTTCTCTTTAAGTTTTTCAATTTAAAATGTAAATAGCGGGCAATTAGCTTGAAAACATGGCTGGTTGCGGTCTGAAAATTTTATGCCGTCACACACACACACACACACCCATATACACACATACTTGCTCACAGTTTTTCCCGTCTGTCACCTGGCATCAATGCCCCCATGGAGGCGTCGCCGCCATTGCCGCCGGCGCTTGGCCACTGCCACCGAACAATGCAGCCAACCGAGCAGCAACAGCAGCAGCGGCTGCAGCAACAACGGCAACAGGAAGTATTTGGGGCAGGTGGGGCAGCACTAGGCGGCACCGTGCGTTGAGCCACCATCGTGCCTTTTGAGCGGCGCATTGTTGGCCATTTTTTGCTCTATTTTTTTCCTTTTTTTTCTGCTGTGCAGCCAGCTGCATTGTTGGCGGCGTGCAGCGCCGAGTATCCCGCTGCCGACTTGTTGCCGTGACGTTGCCACTTGGCGTCCATTCGCCACTTGCCTTGTAATGAGTTTGCCATTTTATTTTATTTATTTGCCCAGCGCTTTGTTTCGAATGCGCAACGCACGGACCGATAACAAAAAAAAAAAAAGAAGCGCATTTAAAATTAAAATTAAATAATGATTTAAGTGCGCCGCGAGGCTTTGTCTGTTGCCAGATCCAAAAAGGAGTTAGAGCTGACATCAGATGCAGTCATTGTTAGGGGTTGTTGAAGTATTTAAGATGGGGCATGAATGTGTATATTTCAGCGCAATAAATTAAATGTCGCTCGCGAAAAATTATATTTAATGAAAAAAGTGAAAAGAACTTTAAATTTAAATGTTATTATGTTAACATATGCCAGTATGTTATTTAAGCTTGACTTATTTATACTGCATAACGCTCTTAATTCTCGCCAAGAATAGGAACAATGTCAACAATCAATGACTTTATTTTATTATATGACTGTTTCTGTTACTGTGTATATATATACATATACATGTGTGTGTGTGGAAGTGTACATGTAAGTGTATGCATGCATGTATGTATGCATTCATTTATTCCCATCGCAGGCGACTCTTATTTGTCGCCGTGCTGTAAATTTAAATACAACGACTTTCTACCAAGTGCTCTCCTCGTCGATTCTCAAGAATTCAAATAGGCTCTGCAGTTGTTCTTGCTTAGCTAGTAGTGTAGTGTTTATTTTTATTTTTGTTTCTTGTTTTTTTGCTGTTGTTTTTATTGTTGCTTTTGTAATTATGTATGTATGTATGCATGCATGCATGTATTTAAGTATGCATACATCTACATATGCGTCTTTATATGCGTGTTTCCATATATACAGAATGCATACATATATATACAAACATGCGTACATATATATGCACATGCACATAAACATATATGTACCCTTGTGTATATTTATTAATGCAAAAATGCGTACCTACATGCATGTTTATATTTGGGTGTATGTAGGTATTAAATATGTACGAATGCATGTTTATATATATATATATATATATATATATATATATAAGCATTCAATGGAGGGTAAACAAAAACGATTTTCGCGATTCTTCCACACATGCGGGTGGAATTACCCGAAACCCCGTCTTAACGTGCCCCTTCATTAAATAAGGTAACAACAGTGAACGTTTCAGCTTTTTAGCTCTTACGGTATGGGTTGTGCGTTGATCACCAATCAGGCAATCGGTCAGGACAAACAGTTTATATATAGTGAATTACTGAGATCACGATTAAAATAATAGAAATATACAGTTAACTTCTTTAGATTTTGATTAGGAGATGGTCAGATTTGACCGGTTAAACAATATTATTTGAACTGTACAACATGGAAAACTCTATTACACTGACCATGCCTAGACAAAACTGACATATACAGAGAAAAAGAGAGAGAGAGAGGGAAAAAGAAGAGACACAGTTCGAGAGTCGGACAGTTGAAGAGTTGTTTTTGTTATGGTTATTGTTGTTGTTGGTGGCAAAAGGCAGAAATCAAATTACAATTTCAATATGCGATGCGTACAAATGTCTGTTGGTGGCAGTTTGGCTTTCAATGTGAACATGAAGTTTCAAGTTGATGTTTAGAATTTGTGCGGGTGTGCGAGTATGTGTGTGTGAGTGTGTGTGACTGGCTGGCGGGTACATTTTGATTTGAGCCCACAAAATGGATTTCTTGCTGCTGCAACTCTCCGTTTGTGTCTATGTATGTGTGCCTGTCACTTAATGGAATTTATCACATTTTAACTGTGTGACAGAAACGACAACGTCAGCAGTGGCAGCCCCGACTGTGTGGGCGTTGGTTGAAGCATCCTAGTCCAGCTGCTGTTGCTGTTGCTGTTGCTGCTGCTGTGTCCTGTGCTGTGCTGTGCTGTCCTGTCCTGTCATTTGCTTGGTTTGTCAGGCATGCATTTGAAATGTTATTCAATATGCAAGTGCAAGTTTCGCATATTGAACGCTTCCAAGTGTCACAGTCATTGATTCCAACAATAAATAATGCAGGGGCCAACAAGTGTGTTGGCTCTTTATTTATTCAAATGAAGCTCAGTCTCACTCCCTCCACTGCCGCCTGCTAGCAATTAAAAGCCAACTCATCAGGCGGCTATTAAGCAAATGTAAATGCAGCCAACTATCAACAACTGTCTGCGGGGAGTTCAAACTTTGCGGCAACTTAACGAGTGCGACGACGATTATTAAATTAAAACGTGCAAAAAACTTTTCCCAAAGATGAAACTTCTTCTTTTATTTTTTTAGATATGCTTCTTTCTTTCTTTCTCTTTCTATTTTTTTACACTGCTACGCATAATTTATTATGCGAGGCAAAAATCTGCTGCAGCAAATTTGTCACATGGGATAAATAATAAGAAGAAACTTACTTAACTTTTACACAGCATGTGCCACAGGCCACAAGGAGGCGACGTCTACAACTACAACTACAACAGCTAGAGCTCTGCTACCTCGGGGATTTGTGACTGAGCTTCAGCTGTAAATTACCCATACGCCATGTGCTGCGAGGGAGCATTCAAAATGTATGAAAACTGTGACCAGACCAGCGTGAAATTAGTAGTAAGCACTTTAAATAGGTCGTTGCTGCTTATTGTTCAGCGAGTTCGAAAAATGAATTCAAAAGGGTGTTGTATAATTCAAGAGAATTGAAAGCAAAATTTTATTTGAATTAGATTAATAAACATATGTATATGTACAAATTTTCCGGGAACAGGTAATTTCTTATTGAACTATTTACTACAGATTTTTATATCATGCAAAATATTATACAATGAAAAATATTTCACGGTAAATTGTTTTCTTATATTTAAGACTCCCAGCTGTTTATCTAGACCATGTTTAGTCTTGCGATTATCCACACCTCCTTTAAATCTGTTGCCCTTTCAAATATTTTAATTTCTAGTTGTAAGTGATAAGTTTATAATCCTTTTGATGCTTTCACAACTAAGTATGCCCCAAAAAGGAACTTCATATTAAGTTCGTGTAGTAAGGCTTCACATATTTGACCTACATAAATTGAGCTAAAATTTAAGTGATAAGATGTATAAAGTCTGCCGGTCCACTTTCACTTGGTTATTGAGCTTAGATTGCGTTATAATGGACTAGCAGCTTGTGTGCAGCACATGAGCTGCCTTTGGCCGTATCGCAGAGCCGAAGGAGGCCACTAAATATGTCAAAGTGGAGGCAAATTTATACACAAACTGATAAACAAAATCAGCAGAAAAAAAAAATACTTCTAAGAATAAAAAGAAAACGACATTTTAGGCTGGCTGGCGGCAATGCTGCAACAATTGCTATCTTGACGTTGTCATCTTTAGAGCTGGGAAATTGCCATTGCCATTGAAATTGGCTCCGTAGCCGGCAGCCCTGGGTACAAGTCGTGGGTCTTGAGTCTGTTTGTTGTTGCTTTTGGCACGCCTATCAGTGGAATTGAATCAAATTACCTTGTAATCTTAACCTTAAGGTTATTTGCCGTTTGCCGCAAAACGCTTTGTGCCCTGCGTTTAGTTACTATTTGAGTGCCCCAACACAACACCAACATCCTCCCATATACCCAAGCCCAAAGTTGACTTGGCAACACTTGACTCTCGCATTACACAGACTCTAGTTGGCGTTGCACCTTTAACACTTGATTCCCGGCGGGGTGGGCTTGGGCTCTTGGAGGAAATATAAATGGAAATCTAGCATTACGTCTTATCACGATTGCAAAGTTTAAGTGACTTTTCTGCAAGTGCAAAGCGATAGCTACGCTGCATAGTTGTTCTTGTTGTTGTTGTTTTTGTTGGCGCACTTTGAAAATGTAGCAAGTCAATCAATGTTGCTAGCTCGTGCGCTGGGGGAGCTTGTGGCAGCTCTAGGTAAGTAAAAGTTAGTTAAATTTCGATTAGGCGACTGTATCTAAAGCTCTTAGCTTGAAGTTTCTTTTACTTTATGAGCTGTTTATAAGATGGTTCGAATTGGCTTGAGTCAGGTTAAATGAACTAAATGTATTTTTATTTATCATTAAACAAATTTCTGTGTAACTATTAATTAGGTTTTATAAGCTTGAAATGTGGGTTTACAAACAGAGCAAAACTTAGACCACTCTCGGAGATTCTTAGTAAATGCCATTGTAAAAAAACAAACAGACATAAACATGTGCTAACTATGTTTATTAAACAACTATTTTATGTATAATTAATATGTTAAGCATAGGAACCCATTACCACAACTTTCATAGTTTTAACAGGTGTCACACTATTCGCCCTCACTCGCTCACATCGTACAACATTTTCATCAATTCCGACACATATTCATCCCACTTGGACTGAAATACATTGCCTGCACATGGAGCGCTCATATCGTATTTTTGTGTAAATTTTTCAAGATCAAAATTGCTATGATCCTCGGCGTTCTTCAGCTCCATTTTCTTTTCGTCGAAGTCCAGTTTACCCGACTGCTTATAAACAAGTGCCACATAACGTAAGAGGCCGCTATCCTTGGGCGGCATTGGTCCAAAGTACTCGGATATAGCCTGACCTTTGGCCACGTCCATGCCGGGCACATTGACCACCAGCCAGTGCAGCCACGAGCGGTATATGGGATACTCACGACTGGGCGCATCGGGACTGAGCATAATGATCGTATAAAAGGATTCCGCATCGGCATTCCACTCGAGCCTGGGCTGGAATTTCAATTCAGTGGGGGTGTACGTCTTACCCTCCTCAATTTCCATTCCGTTCTCAAAACGCATCTAAAGTTTTGGCTAGAGTATAGTTAGGTTTTGGTTAGGTGTAAATGGACTACCTTAAGCAGTCCTTGCGGCAGTTCCTTGAGCACATCTGGAATCACATTCAATTCCTTCATAAGGCGTCGCACGCTCAGCTCCTCCTGTTCGGCTCGAGTCAGGCACAGGACGTACAGCAAAACAACGTAAAATGAATTCATATTCAATGCTTTCGACTTCTGGCTAGAACGCAAAGCTTTTATAGCTCCCGAATCGATATTACTAGGCACTAATCGTCGACTGCAATTGTCAGCGCAAATATAATTAAGAAAATTGAGCGAACAATTTGCAATCATTTGTGAAACTTGTGCAAATATTTGCATTTATATTCTTCCATGTGCCGCACAATTTCTATAATTTTCCAGCCGCTTTTGTTGTCTAACAAATAAAATTAAATTAGGGCATTGACACGATATAGGGGTAATAAGTACAAATAATTTGTGTCAAATGGCTTTCATTACTAATGATTTTGTAGTTTGTATTATTAAAAAAAGAATAATAATAATAGGACTTTTAAAGAGCAGAAGAGCTTAACTTTGCATTGACCAGTTACCCAATATAACGTAATGGAAATATTAACATCATATTTTAGAAAATTCCATTTGTGAAAAAGATTGTTTTTTTCATTAGAGCTGCAAGCACCAAAAATGTAGTTGGAATTTAGGTTTGCGCTTCGGTTGGGACAGCCTGGGCAGCGGGCTTGGTTCCAGTTTTTATTCTTAGTAAAATATGAATTGTAACTTCAAGTTCCAAGCGTTTCGGTTTAATAATGGATTGCAGCCTTGGTTCTCATATTTGACGGAAAGGAATTTTTTCTCTTCCGTCCAACAGCTATTATTTTTGAATATCATTAGTATTTATATTATTTGTAATATATAAAATATTCTAATTGGTGTAATTACACACTAACTTTTTTTAATTTCGTCAGGAACGTCTATACACTTGGCTAAGATTCGAGTCCCACGCCTAGTTGAAACGAGGTTGCTTTGGCAACTCATTAACCCAGGAATACATTTGTAATAATTAAATTAAGTTATAGTAATAAAAAAAGTAACTTTATCTACATAGTTTTCACCATCTTTCAGCAGGTTAAAAAGTGGTTTACTTGAAGGACTTATATATTCGCCTGCTGCACATTTGCATGGCAATTAAAAAAATGATTGCCAAGTGACGCACATAATTTAAGGAAAACTATGTGGGTTTTTTTTATTTTTGCTACACCAGCAGGCAAAAGCAAATAAGCACTAAAAATGCTCAAAAGTCAAAAGGAGAAGAGTTGTTGCGCTCGAGTTGGCAGCCCCGAGCGAGTACCGAGCAGCCAACTTCGAGCTGTGGCAACATGTGCGTCTAATGTGCGCACATTAGCAACACAAATGCAGTCGAGATGACTGAAGGATGGGCAAGGGGTCGACAGGATCTGGGGATGAGCCTGGGCACAGGAGTCAGAAGCTAGTTGAGCTATGCGGAGCCGGCGCCACTCAAGCAAACGAACGCACTTAATTTATGCAATTTGGTTAACAACGTTAAAATTGTAGACGAGCAGCTGGGAGCAGGATGTGCGGAGTGTGGAGTGGAGAGGCTGCGGCAGGCGGGGGGCCAGCATAGACTGGCAGTCAGTCGGGCGGGCGGACATAAATCAAAATGGAAACAATAACGCAAAACTGAAGACGGAGCACAGGACACAGGAACAGCAGCAGCGGCAGCGGCAGGAACTGTAGACGGCACGAAAGGAGTAATAAGGATAATGAAGCAGCAACAGCAACAGCCGCTGTGGCATGCGTCCTTCTACTTGATGCTGGGCACTTGCCATGTAAACGATGATGAGCACGATAATGATGGCATTTGAATGAGCACACACACACACACACACACACACACACAGCACGTGTGCCTGTGTGTGGCAGCACATTGATGTCGTAATTTGAGCGCGGCGTTTGCCATTTTCTCAATATTTGTCGCAAATATTGGCTCATTATTTGGCCTTATTATACATTAATTTGCCTATTAATTAATTTAACGTTTCGATCTCGCAGCTTAATTTGTGCGTGTGTGCGCCCAGCTTTCTTTGCAGTTATTAATATGCCAGCAATTAGCTGGCAAAATTGGCTGGCCCAAATTAGCTGACAACTTATACAACTTACCTGTGCGAATGGCTCGAGTATTTCGATGACATAATTTGGACCGGAGTTATGTGAACCGTGTTGATAAATAGCTATAAATAATTTCTTTAAGGCAGGTAGGCATTAAATGTGTGTAGATTATTATACAAAGAAAACTAAACTCTGATCAAATTACATAAAATCAAAATATATGTAAATGTGGCTTGAGATTGAAACCCACGATTAGATTCTTGCTTTAACGACCGGCTCACTTGCCGTCCAGCTCATCTATTGAGTACTTTAGAAACGTCTTTATATACATACATATTTATTTAGTAATTATCTTATCGTAGCTCACTTTCAAATACAACAGCCATCTATGCCAAATACCACAAGCCAGTAGTTGCTTGTGCCACCGATTTTCTTTGGCTCTGCGCGCCCCTCCGCTAGGAGCATGTCGCATTTCATTAGCAACTCGGGGTTTGGGGGTTTCTGGATGCAGTATCTTGAAAGAAGTAGTTGCTCCAGCTACTGGCTGCATTATCTAGTTACTTTTACAAGTTTTGCCAAGATTACGAACGAGCTGAATGGGTCTGTAGCTGAAGCGAATTTCTATTCAAGAAACTTTTGCATTGTTGTTGCAGCTGCTGATTTTGTGTTCCTCTTGCTGCACTAATTTGCATGACCTTTGGCTCCGCACAGAGCCAAGCCAACTAACCAGGTAACCAACTAACCAACCAAGCAGCCAGGGAACAGCCCAGCCAACCAGTTAGATAGCCCAACAGGGCCTCAACATTTGAATGGCATTTCATTTGCGACGCTTTTCAACGTTAATGCCATGGAAAATGCATAAATTGCGGCACTCAAGTGGAGAACTTGCTGAAAAACAATGACAATTCTTGGTTCAACCGGCTGTTGGCTGCAGGTGGCGACGGTTGAGGGGAAGGGTGGGTTGGACGTGAGCGAGTTGTTAGCCAGGCTAATTAGCAATTTCCAAGCTTAGCTGCAGCTTATCAGTGCACGAGCTGCTCTAAAATGAGCTGCCTTTTAAGGGGGGAAAAACTCAATCGTTGGCATTTTAAAGATTTTTCCAAAATGCGTTCGTTGTGTGCAGTCAGAGTAGAAATAGTTTAAAGATTTTACATTTACAATCCTTAAACAAAGTAATTTGTAAACTATTATTCTTATAGAAAACTAAATGTTAAACAAAAAAAAAAAATTAAAATGTTTACTTGGTGGACATTTATTTATAAAATTAATTTTTTTTATTAGAACTTTAGGAGTTCGTATAGAAAATGGATCCGTTTCCTTGGGCACACATTTTTATGCATCAATCAAAGCACAAGAATATAGTTTCTCAAATAAGCTAAAAATAAAGATGTGTATTTCAACTTTAAAACTGAACTTTAATTGAATTTATAAATAACAAATTTATTAATTTTTCATGCTTTTAATACTTAGTTAGACGCGTTTTCCCGCAGAGAACCCATATGTTTGAATGTATGTCCGTCCAAAAGAGTTTTCACTGTACTATTATTATATTAATTAACCGAACCTTGTTTAAATTAGCTAACTGGCCATTGACTCAGATACTCATGCACCAGCCTGTTCTTAGAGCTCGGATTCTTAAATCATGATAGAAAGATCAATTAGAACTTTTTATATCTTGATCAACGCTTCGTATTTGAATTTTGTGGCAATGCAAATTGTCCAAATTAAATACAAGTTTCGATGTGAACATTTTAAGAACTTTTGTGCCAGCCTGACTAAAATTACAGCCCCCTCCCTCAGCCCGGCACTCAGTTCCACACACACTCGGTACTCGGTAAATGCCATTTGGCAATTTCAGTTTTGGTTGTGTATCCTTTGGCGCACAGGACTAAAGCGCTTGATATATCCATTTCGTTTGGAGGATTCTTCGCGTGCCTGTTAAGAGCTGCTGCAACAACAAAGCAATTGTTATTGCTGCTGTTGTTGTTGTGTATTACATGCGTGTGAACTGGCAACACAGCAGAGCACAGCACACACACATATGAACACTCACACACACGCACACACTCAGACAGCATACAAAAAGTGGGGAATTGTTCATTTTGTGCTCAACTTTTGGTTTTGTGCTGTTTGTGCGCTTTGTGTTTATTTATTTAAGTGTTATTTCGTTTTATTTTCCAAAATTGAGTTATAAAAAAGTTTTGAAAATTGTTTAAATGGAAAAAACAGATTGAATATCCTCCAACCGAAGCACGCCCCCTTGCTATCCCCTAGCCCAACGAGCAGCGAGTGGCAGCCACTTGAGCACATGTCAAGTGGAAAATCGTTTTGTTGCTCTTGCCACTACCCCCCGCACCCGGCACCATGCACCCCGCACCCAGCACCCATCGGGCTACGACTCTTCATAAATGTGCGGGCGCTATGAATATGTTTTTGATAAAGTTTATTTATATATGTGTATGCAAATCGCATAATGCTTGTAAGCAAAAGGGTTTTCGCATCCGCTTTTCCTTTTGCTCGAACTTTTGCTTTTACTTGCGTGTAGTTTGAATTGGTTTGCCAGACCCTACGCCTCAGTGGATCGCCTGATATATGCATTTATATAGCCGCTCACATATTTGAATAATTTCCGTTTGAAATTTCCTTTTAAAGCGTTGCCCTCGCCCCCCTCCCCACTCCATTCCCAACGCAAATTTCGCATTGTGTCCCCGATAGGCAAATATATGTATTTCTTGGCAACTTATCCAAGTTTTCCAGCTGACTGCCATTTTCTTTATTGTCATTGGCTGCCACGCAATCTCGTATCGGCGGCTGCGGCGGCAACATTTACCGATTTATTTATTTTGATTAAGTGCCTCCAATTGTTGTTCTTTTTGTTGGCAACGGGAAGTAATTGAGGCAATGTGACGCTTTGCGTAATGTCCCGATAACGTTTTAACGCCGCGCCGAACACAGTCAATAAAACAAAGTCTGAAAATTCAAAAAAACCTTTTTCAGACTTCTTGGGAAAACGGTCTCGAAATTGTTTTATGATAATATTTAAAAGTATAATATGCTACTCTGTTATACTCCGGCTGGTTCTATTCGAAATAAATGCCATCAAATTTTAACAAAATAACTAACTGAGAGTTTATATGTTCGGATATTGCTTCACTATGCCTCTACTCCTAAAAATCGAACGAGAGGTAGTTTATTGTGAAATATCTCGGAAAGGAATTTAT